CTGCAGTGGGATACTCCTGTACGTGAATGCCACTCACTGCAGTGGGATACTCCTTTACCTGACTGCCACTCAGCTCACTGCAGTGGGATACTCCTTTACTTAACTGCCACTCAGCTCACTGCAGTGGGATACTCCTGTGCGTGACTGCTGCTCACTGCAGTGAGATACTCCTGTACGTGACTGCCACTCACTGCAATGGGATACTCCTTTACACAACTGCGGCATGACTGTCTACATATTATACTGTTCATTTGCAGATTTCCACTTTGCGGCTACTTTATGGATATTTTCTGTGGGTATAAATTCAATATTGAAGGTCGAACTATCTAGCCACTTAACTTACATAGTTCTCAGGATGCATATCACTGTGATGGGAATACGTGCAGCATCTCTGTCTATAAAAAACAGCCAATGATGGGGGATATAGTGGAATGGGTTTTGTACCCTTCCCATATATCCATTCTGGACAAGACTCAGCATTTTGCTGGGCAGATGCCTCTCCCCTGGCCAGGCTGTAGGCTGCCTGTGAATCCCTGGAATCGGTGACGGTGATATAAGTGGGGTCCCCCAGTCCTTCTAATTATTTCCCAAGAATCCAATTCTCTGAATAAAGTTCCTTTCTACTTAAATGCTTATGTAGTTTTGCTTCTTGCACACAACTCTAACTTAAATGTCAACAGCAAAATGATCTCATAAGATAATATTAAATAAGCCAACTTATTAAGTAGACTTTCCTTCTATTTTTTCATCCAAACTTTCCTGTGCAAACATGTCCCATGTTATTCACCTACCGTTGGGATAAAAGGCTCATCAGGTGCACAGTGATAATTCTGTAATAAGGCTTGAAGTTGTAGGGAATTTAACTTAAAGCAGGTGCTATTTATATTTGGAATGTCATCAGGTGCATACTTATCCATGGTAAGCAAAGTGGTTGCCTGTTTAAAGGGATAAATGGCATAAAATATGACTCAACAGTTTTTCATAAACATTATCCTTTAAGTAGTATTTGTAAAACTGTAGTAATTTGCTAATTTAATTTGGAAACACAGATGTTTTTAACAGACTTCCATTAACATTAACCATAAAAACTGCATAAAAGCATTGTCTAGGTAATTGTCTAAGCATTGTCTAGCATTGTAAAGGTATTTAGAGGCCCTCTTTAGTTTAATAGAACATATGTATATTTAAATTCAAGTATTTATGTTCATAAAGCATTAAAAATCATTCTCTTTAGAAGTATAAGCATTTACATGACCATTCATGTTACCAATTACTGGGCTCTCAATTGTTTCAGTATTATCAACTTTTCATAACTTGCTGACTGGCCTCCTGCTATACTTTAACCTCTTTAAAGAGATTAAGAAATAAAGAAAAAAATTTTACGTAACAGTAAAATAATACTGTCCTAGGTTTGAGGCTATATATGATCCATTTCGTCAAATGCAATATGCCAGTTCCTAGTTTTTAACATGTAAAAACTCCCCTCAGAGCTGGTTCAGCCATTAGGATATATAGTCTAACTTTGCATTCTGTAGAGTTAATTATAATACCAGACATTTTTAAATTGTCATACTCTGATTTCTCTTCATATTGTATACATTTTTGCCTCTTTTAGCATGAAGCTTTCTGAAACACACCTCACTGATCTCAGTATAAAGGACCATTTATATTATAAGGGTATCTCTATACTACTGGTTACCACGTTATGAGCTGAACTGCGCCCCCCCCATACTCTTGGAACCTAAGACCCAATACCCTAGAATGTATTATTTTTTGGAAATAGGGTCTTTACAGGGGTAATCAAGTTAAAATGAGATCAGTAGGTCCAGTAGGATTGGTGTCCTTATGAAGAGCAGACATTTGGACACAAACATGCATATAAGAGAACACCACGTGAAAATAAAGGCAGAGACTGGGGTGGCCCATCCGCAGGCCAAGGAAGGCCAAAGTCTGTGTGTAGATCCCCAGGAAGCTGGGCAAAAACCCGGACCAGCTCCTTCCCTTAGAGCTCCTAGAAGGGACCAGCTCTCTTGACACCCTGATTGTCCTCCAGAACTGTGAGACAGTAAATTTCTGTTAAGCTGCTCAGTCTGAGATACAGATTAAATACCCATTACCTGAAAGGACCAGAAGTGCATTTTGGATTTTTTTCAAATCTTGGAATATCTCTATCTATATAATGAGATAAACTTGGGAATAGGACTCAAGTCTAAATACAAAATTCATTTACATTTTAAATATGACCTATACTCACAGCTTGAATGAATACAATACTTTTAATAATTTTGTGCATGAAATGCCGTTTATGTACCTTAAACCATCAGAAAACCAACCACAGCTGTGTGGCATCGCCATCACTCCTCACTCTGAATTTACATGCTACCTGTTAATACAATGCCAAATATCATATTAATGCTCCAAAAGTTTTGAATTTTGGAGCACTTCAGATTCAGACTTTCAGATTAGCAATGTGCACTGGTTACGGCAGCCTGGATACCAATACACGCATCATCATTTTATTATTTGTAGACATGAAAAGCTCCAACAGAAGGATACTGAGGTTTAGATAAACCCAAGCGCTTGCCCATCAGAAAACCAGATCCATTCACCCTCAAGCACACTGACTGTGGGGAGGGGCCAGCACATACCTGCACAATCCTGCTCAGGTGACAATCAGCAGCCAGCTCCAGGCCCTGCTTCTCTGCCCACGCTTCAATATGTCCCAACTGCTGGCGGATAATTGCTCCCCAGTAATGAGAACATAACCCTGAATCCGGGTCAGTCACCAATCTATTGAACAGCCACATATTGATGAAGTGGAACAGCTGAGAGAAGAGCTGGATGGTCAGGGCAGCGTTGACTCTGCAGCGGCGCAGCAAGGACATGGCTCCCGTGAGTGTGTGTAGCACATCATCTGCCCAGGACAGGGTGAGAAGGCCAGGGACTGGGTCACCCAAGAAGAATGCTTGGGATTCACAGTGAACTTGGTCATGATAGTTAGGTAATAACTGCTGTTTAATCACTTTAAAAATACCAATCTTATTCAAATAACAATCAGTGATGTGGTCTGAAACATAATACTTAACTATGCTTAATATTGTAAGTTCATCCTAACAGATTTTTAAAAGTATGACCACCATTACACACCAAAGAACTATTGGTAAACAAAACAGACAGTCCTCAAAATTTATTATTTTAAAGAGTGACAAAAAAAATAGGTCACTCATTTTTTTAAAGTTATCTCTTCTTACGTGAACTAATAAAATCAAGTTAAATGTGAAGGAAGAGCAGGAGAGAGGAAGGGAATCAAAGAATATCCTAACCTATTTTTGGTCTTTGCAGACTGTTCTCTTCAGGATCATCTAGAAAGGCTGGCATGTAATTATTAAGTTCTGATTGAAGACAGTGAACCAAGTATCTGTAAATATATAAGCAATTTAAAAATAATCTCAGCATGACACACTACCACTACAAGACTTGTTAACACCATCTGAACTCTTTATTTTCTTTAAAAAAAATTCAGCTTTACTCTCAGAATTCTTGAAACATAGCTCATGAATTCAGCATTAATACAACAAATAAATACATATTTTGCATGTACTTATTTATACTTGCTATGATCTTCAATTAAGGTAAATAAAAATCTTTAAAATTAGTTTTAAAAATTGAATGAGAAAACATATGACTTAATTCCTTATACAATAGTGTTATCTTCAAAAAATGTATTCCTTACTTAAATGCCATTTGAACCAAGTGTGCTAAAACATCTTGGGCATCCAATGTGATTCGACTAAGGTCTCGGTCCTGCTTAATGAAGTTGAGAAGTTCAGATGCATTTGCCATCCAGAAGGCAAGTGCCCCCGCAATATTCTTCTGTTTCTGTAGACAGAACACATTTTCATAAGCAACATAGGATGAACAAAAGCAATAAAAATAAAAAGGAATGCTCTTGAAAAGTTGCTGAAGATAGACCAGTACCTTCCCATTTTCACCAAGATATTTACCACAGATACCAGATATTTGCAAAGGAATTTAGGCACATACATAGCTATGGGAAGTAAATAAAAACCAATGCAATTACTGATTAGAATTCATGTTCATGGACATATATATTAGCTATATGTCTTTAATTGGCTATAATTTATGAAATCAGTGGAAAAATGAAAATTTCCAACAATACCAAATTGTAGATTATGCATTATCTGGTAATCTGTGCAGTATACACACATGTATCCATGGTTACCCACAGCCACCCTGATACTTGTAGTCACCGGCTTGGACACCATGCAACTCAGTATCAAGTACTGATCTATCACATCCTCTCCCGACCACATGTGCAGGCCAGGCAACCTCAGATGAGATCCAAAGAATAGGAACCAAGGATAAATAATAAAGAGAAGAAAAAGAACTTTTGTCATTTCATATCCACACTGAAGTGCATTAAGCAGAAATTATGAAATGCTGGTAAAGGTTGCACAGTCAAAAAGGGTTTTAGTATTGCACGTCTCAGTTGCTGAATGAGTGTTATGAGCTGTTCAGTCCAGCTGTTGTAGTACTGTACTGACATGGGAGCAGCATGAGGAAACTTGGCTAAGCAACACAGCTAGGATCAGCTCCCAGCAGAATGTCCTACCTGGTCAACCTGGTCTACTTCCTGGAGAAAAACAGACGGGGGGGAAATCAAGCAGAACGAGAGAAAGAAACTTGTGAACAATCATGATAGCTCAAAAAAATCAAAACACTAATATGAAGGTACGACATGAAGGTACGACATTTAGTTACGTTATTCCCAAATTACACTTTCACGTATGGCTCTGAAGCGGTTTGGAAGTATATGACCTGAAGGGTTATTAGTTTTATTTCCTTACCACTGGCACAATAACTAAGTAAATTTCCACAGAGTTTATCTACAAAGATCATGCTTTAATAAACACAGAAGAATATACTGATCTCTTTTTAAAAATTTCCAAAGGAAGGACATCTAAACATCTTTTAATAAAATTGTGTGCTTACTAATTCAAGGTACATAAGTTAAGAGTCCATTCCCCTTGTTAATTCAGAGAAACAGGACAAGACCCACAGAAATAATCAAAATAAAAGTTGAGAAAGCTGAGAATTTTGAAATATATAAAGAACTAACTTACACCTATCCTAAATGGAGTAAATTCTTTGTTTTTTAAAAGTAGAATTTTAAATTATTCTTTACTGTCATAGTTCTTTTTCACCACTTAAAGATTCTCTAATTGGTTGCTAAGCCTGAAGTTTAAAAGGCTTGCTTTGGCAACAGGGACTTCACTGAGGAGCTCACATCAGTAAGGAAGAGTCTATTAAAGACCGTTTGATGACGGGGCTTTCACAATCAGAAGCGGGCTTTAGAAGTCCAGACATGACAGAAGACAGACGATGGCTCTAAACAACAACTGAAAGGGAATCTATATTGTGTATGAAGTAAGATGTGAGAGTAACAAAATCCAAATAAAATGACTGCCCTTTCAACTAGTTCCCAGCATCACACTTGTATAATGCTAACCACTCAAACATGAAAGAAATATTTCTTGAAAAACTCTGGCCTCTTAAAACATTCTAAGGAAAGAAGTAAAAGATTATTAGTTTCCCTAAAATGATCCTGCCAAGATAAAAAACAACCAAACCATCTAACTAGAGTTGTATTAAAGTAACAGCATTGACAAGTGATTTACAAAAGCTTAAAAAAAAAAAACTATAGATTTACTTTTAGTAACTTTAAATATTAAATTTTCAAATTATCTGTGAACATAGAAAACTGCTGTCAGTTTTGCCAACTATAGATAGAGAGTACTTAATGGAATCAAAACATTCTACCAACAGAATAGAATCCCTTTTTTTCTTGAAATTTTCAAAATAGGTTTATGAAAAGAATTTCACCTTAAGTGAAAACTGTCATGATGTCCACTATACTATGTGCTATCAAAAAGCCCAGTCCTACTGACATTGTACTAGGCTTATCACAAAGGAGCCAGTGCCTTTCTAAACCAGGGAGGGGCATGAGGACTGCTTCCTGGACAATGGGTTTACCCTGGAGCGAGGGAAATGTCTGGGAACCAGACAGAGGGCTGGTTGCACAACACTGTCAATGTCCTAATGCCACTGAACTATTCCCTTCAATGTGGTTTATGTATGCTACATAAACTTCATCTCAATAAATTATTTTTAAAGACATTCTAAGAAAATTCACAATAATCTGAATACTTTATTACACTTACTATTACAAATTTAAGAATCTTTTTCATGATCACATACACAGTTTATCTTTATTCTAAAGCCCATAAGAAAAAAGGTTTATATTTCCTTTCAACTTTTTGAAACTATACATTTTTCTATACTATTTATGTAATTTTTATTTTAGAAAAAACATATAACCAAATCAGAAGCATTAAAGAAAGTGAATTCACTGATTCAAACATTACAAGCACAGTGATCGTTCAGCACGGCTTTTCAGGCTGGCCCTTACCTGGATGACTCCTTCCATCATGCTCACCATCTTGTTGACTACGGCAATGACTTTGTGAGTGCGTTCTGCAGAACTGATATCCGGTCTGTACTGGCTGGACAATACATACCGGCATGCCATGTATAACACATATGTAGGGGACAACTTAAAATGGACTGTAGAGCTATTAGTATAATTTATAATGGCAGATAAAAATGAATCTTCAGCTGTGAAAAGATTTCAAAAAAGAAAAAAGAAAAAAACAAAAAAACCATGAAAAATCAAATGGATAAAAATGGATCAAGAAATAATTCACTAACAATGGAATCTGAAATTACTCACAACTTTCCCTGAATTCAATGCTTGCAGGTAATATCAGTTCAGGCCCAGAAGCATCCTGTGTTCTAAAGGAAGAAAGTTGACATTGCTTAAGATAAGGCCACATGGTTAATGGTATCACTGACAACCCATGTAGATTTCTGCAACTATTTTTTAAATCTCTATACAGATTTTGCAAATGTAAAACAAATAGCAACATCCCTTGTTTTCACATGTAGCCTATTCAAATACTGAGATGAATATATTACGAGTGATCTTACCACAACTCCTCACAGAAGGTTAGTTCCTTGAAGTAGATACCTGCCCCATGAGAACAATGACACAATTCTGGATTATTAATGAACACTTCAGGTCTAGCACAGAGATCAAGCTATATTGCACCTGCTATAGCCTGGCTCAGGTGACAGTGAAAAGACACTACTAAGAGACACCCAGGAAAACTAAACCATGTGGAGCTTGAAACTGAGTTCTTATACTAAAACAAAAATGTCCTAGGACCGAGACCTTATTTGCCTCCTTTCTCTACTGACACAGAGTTGGACGAGATGACTGCACCAGGCTTCCTCCAGCCGCTCAGTACTACCACTGTTCATCCCTAAAACAACGCGTCCTTTAAAGAAGACATTCTACTCGCTCATATTTTTTTCTTAACGTCACACAAATGCCAAATACTTTCCGCAACTTAGCTGACACTATACAAAAAAAGAACTGACAAAAATAACATAAAGAAAGATAAACTACAATTTGTAAGATTTCTAAGAACTAGCATTGTGCTACTGTTTGTATCTTTTCAGGTATTCACAATCAAATGAATTCAAAGATTAGGTATATTTCTATTCCTAGAAGATAATTCTTCACAACAGGTCATCACTCATTGGTAGGATAGAAGGGTGACTGCTGCTTTGTGAAACTCCTCTTCCAATTACAAATATATGAATTTGTATGAGTGTGTCCACCAAAAATTGAGTAAAATATGACCTTGTAACCAAGGTTAAAAACCATTTTGAAAGCCATTACTAGGCACAGACATTCTGAACTGTGTAAGATAATTACAATTTAGACCTCTTCATTGTAATAGATTTTTATTTTCTCAGTGAATAATGCTCACTTTATTCTTTCACTCAGACAAATGATTAGAACTTCAAGCCACTCTCTAAGTCTGCTACTAGCTATATTTTATTTTCTGTTCTTAACCAACAAAACACAACTATAAGAGGGACTCTAACAAATATAAATATTGTAACAGAACACAACTACAAGAGGGACTCTAACAAACACAAATATTGTAACCTAGTTATCTGCACCCTCACATTAATCTGAAATTAAAAACAATACAATAAAAAAATACTTAAATTGAACCAACCAAAACAGATACAGAGGCAGGTTATTAACTTCCTTAACAACATTTCAGTGTCTGTCATTTTATTTATTTATTTTGAGACAGAGTCTCACTTTGTCATCCTCAGTAGAGTGCCATGGCGTCACAGCTCATAGCAACTTCCAATTCCTATGTTCAAGTAACCCTCTTGCCTCAGCCTCCCGTGTAGCTGAGACTATAAGCATCCACAATGCCAGCCTAGTTTTTCTTAAAGACAGGATCTCACTCTTGCTCAGGCTGGTCTCCAACTCCTGACCACAAGCAATCCAACCACCCCAACCTCCCAGAGTGCTAGGATCACAGGCAGGAGCTACCGTGCCCAGCCATCATTTTCAGTAACTCTGTTTTTGAAAAAACAAGAAAACTAAAATTGACAGCAAATGCCAAAGAGCATGTGTTTTGCCTTTTGTAAACTTAAATGAAAATTAAATAGTGGGGATCATCAAGAGTTACAGGAATGAAATAACTCTTGACTTAAACTGAGAACAATGTTTATTCAAATATTCATATTTGATGAAGTGGAAAGTCAACAATTATCAGCACATTTGAATCAGAAATACTCATCAGTGACTTAAAATGACAGCAACAACAACACTGCTTAGTCAGTTAGCTGGTAATGAGTTTCTAGAATTATATATTTGAAATTGTTAGTAAATTCATTAAACATTCATTAACACAACAATTGAAGACTTTTCTTCAAAAATGAAAAAGAACTTATGATGATTATAGATTTATAATAGTTTGCAGACTGGCTAACTAAAATAATTCTTTAAACGGATGAAGATCCAGCCTCATCTTCCTCACGCCCCAAAAGATGAATAAAGAGAAAAGAATATGAGTTAACCCAAACTATTATGATAATTAAAAACAAAACCAAAAATCAATTAAATTATATGATTCAAAGTTTGTTATCTAGTCTACAATTTAATGATTTAACTCAATAATTTAGGAAAACAAAGATGCTCTTACAAACAATATAATTTAAATGCTCACTTATTTAACATGTCTCTCTTACACTCCCATATTATAGATATCTAACATTGCAGATAGGCAGTTATTTAATTTAATCCTTTTAAAAGGGACTTGAATAAAATTTATCAATGGTTTATTTCAACAAATTTGGTAAAAATGAGGAGGTTAAATTGTCACTGGAAAAAGAAAAAAAAAATCATCACTGACAATCAAAAGTTATTCCCATCAATGGATTAATAAATTGTGGTATATGTACACCATGGAATACTATGTAGTCATAAAAAAGGATGGTGACTTCACATCTTTTATGTTTACCTGGATGGAGCTGGAACATACTCTTCTTAGCAAAGTATCTCAAAAATGGGGAAAAAGTATCCAATATACTCAATACTACTATGAAATCAACATATAAGCACCTACACATTCATACAAATGGTAAAACACAACTACAGTCCAGAAAGTAGAAGGGAAGAGACTAAAAGGGGGAGAGGAGGGAAGAGGGAGGGTATTTGAGGGGACCTCACCTAATGTGCATGATGCAATGGTACACTCTAAAACTATTAAGAGAAGAGTATAATTGTGATGGATATGTTATTCAGTTCAAATGTAAGCATTTCACATTGTTTATCAAATCAATATACTGAACCCCATAAATGCATCAATGTACACAGTTATGATTTAATAAAAAAAAGTTACTCCCATCATTTAAAAGGATTTTTCTTAACCAAAATTAGTATTTTATACTGTATCAATTAAGTTATCTAATTTAATGCTTATTCTAATATTGTATATTTGAAAACAAAGAATGAGGTTAAGAATGGGAAGAAAGTTTCCACTGTTTTCATCACTGTCTTAGTATCAACAAAGTAGCATATTACTCAAAACCATTAATAAGTCTTTGCAAAGCAAACTGCCTTGTAGAAACTTTAATTACAATATGTGCTTAGGGTAAAAAATAATTTCTAACATATAATTAACAATCATGTGGCTATTTCTGACACTACATTAACAAACTATCAACCATACATACTTATTAATCATTAATTTTGCATATCCTAAAACCATTATCCTAATTCATCTTTCCTCTCCCACATGTGGGTTCATTTAATAATTCAAGTATTTAAGAGTTAAGAATTGTTAAGACATACTTCTCAATCACAATAAATACACAGTTATTCCTTACAGTACCCACTTACCACTCTGAACATCCTATTCTACAACACACTACCATAAACAAGTACAAACACAGAACATAAACTATTTACTACTGTGTCTAATAAAACTCATTGTCAGCCAACAAAAGCCATGCATAAGAATCAAACATCCAAAATAAAACTAGTGTTAAACTAGTTTTATTAGTAAAACTAGTAAAACTGAGATTTCCTTAGGAATGTTTTAATTACTGAGATGAATGGCGTTACAATAGCATGCTATAGAGTGCCCTCTACTGGAAGCTGGAAACTGAAGCCCTAGTACTGTCCTCACTATGACTAAACTGACAGGTTATCCTAGACAAGCCCACTGCTTCAGTTGTCTGCTTCAGTTACTGGATCTTTCACAGGAAACAATCAGAATGGCCTCTTCAAAAACCTGAAGAGCACCAACAGGGGAAGCTCCCCATTTCACGGATGATAACAAAAACATCATAAAAGTCACACCAAACTTCCTTATTTCTGTGGTTCATTTAGAGCTGCAGAGTAGAGGTGCTCAGCACCAAGCAATGTTGCAGTTTAAACTAGTTAGCATTTGGAACTCCTCATGTTAGTTAGCAACCATATTTAAGCCAGTGACATTACTTTCAACATTTAAACAATCTAGAGGTCACAAAAAAAAAAAAAAGAATTCTAATGTATAAAGGTGACATATATTAAAAATTATAAGAAAGGGAAATAACAAGTCTGAAGTTCTCTGCCCCAAAAAACTAGGTAAGAACGAAGCCGGCAGAAAAAGTAACTCGCCCTCCCCCATCCCAACAGGAAGACACAGAGCATCAGAGCAGAGGACATGATAACACGGCACTCCACAATTCGAAACATCTCTATTTCAAGATCATTTTCAGCTTTATGTATTTGTAAGCAGATAAAGATTTCTTCTAGAAATGTGTGAAATGACCAGATTTCTTTAAATATAAAAATTATCAAATATTAAAATCCATTAAAAACTCCCTTTCTCTTTATGTTTTCACAAAGCAGCAAATTTGAAATAGCAATATTCTACTTCATTGTGCCTCTTATTTCAACTTGATAACACTACGGCACAGAAGTGAGGGAGGGATATGATTAACAAAGCATTGCTTTTCAATTCAATAACGTGGAAAGGAAATACTCTTAAACAGGATAGCTAACATTCTTAAAATGTCAGAACCTTTATAAACTCAATAATCTTTATTCCAAACCCACTCTAAGAACGATTTTACTTCTTTCACAGTAAGGAAATTACCTGCTTTCTTGCCTGCGATAGTCTGGCTGCTGCTCTGCTCTGATCATGGGCTTTACCATCCCTCGCTCAGCTGTGCTGGAGGCAGACGGTGCTCGGTCGCTGTCCAGCCTGGTGGTGCTCTGTGCCGGAGGGAAGCACAGTGCACTTAGAACACCCTGCAGACCAGCCCAGCCTGACACTCAGCACTGCAGGCAGAGTTCTGGGGCAGGCCAGAAAGCAGCAGAGCCAAAGCTGAGGACACCATATCCACAGAGATGTGCCCGAAACACATTGGCATTAAAAGAGTAATAAAAACACATAGCTGCTTTCATTTTCCAAGAGCCAGGAGCTGGCTTTAAAACACAGGCATGCAAAATTGGTACATATGCACAAAATTTTTTTTAAAAGGACAGCTACATTGATTTTATTCCATAAAGTTCTTTGAAAATCAGGATAAAACATGAGAAAATATGTACCACCATGAAGAGTTAAGGTCTTTTGTTTATTACTTTTAAGAACATATTTAGAAATGCTACTCATAATAGTTTAATACCTAATGAATTCTGTATAGAAACTAGTTTATTTCTTGCTATAAATAAACGAAAAGAAAAAACACACATTATATGGTAAGATGACACAGTATATATTTAAGTACCTCTGAACAGTATACATTTCTAACCACATGTATGGCATTTGTGGGCAAATAAAAAGTACAAGTTACCTATATTAAGAAAATTGTCAGAATAAAATCAAAGATTTATAATGTAATGAAATTTGCTGTAGCAAAAATTTCATGTAAAATTTCTTATATCACATCTATTTACTGAAGAAGTTGAGTATAAAAATAAAAATCGTTACTTTACCATCTAGAGATTATCACAGGGCTACACATATCTTTATTATTTTCCATAAATGGGAACTATTTGAACAATGCAAAGTATTTTACTTTGTAAAAATATTCTTTCTCATATGCTATAAACATCTCACAATATTAACTTATTTTCTTTTATAGACCTGCAATGGCTATATAACATTTTGTTGTCTATTCATCATACTTCATTAAACCAAAGCTATATAACAATGTTTAAAATACTTTTTAGTACAAAGTGACATGACAACTATGCTTACAGATAATATCTATTCACACACAGTAACTATTTACATAAGGTGCACTTATAGAAACAGAACCCCTGATCAGTAAATGACAGCATTATTTAAGCTGTAAAAAAAGTGTTATAAATGACTAGCATTAGGGCAGTGGATAAATAAATTATGTTATGCTTATTTGTTTACATACTACTACATAGTTTTAGATTTTTTTTTAAGACTTTTAAGTACATAAAAAATGCTCACAAAAACTGAAGAAAGATTAGGTGTATGTGGAGAGAGAAATACATCCAATTGTGTTCAAATACATAAATGAACACACAGACAAATTCAGAGAGTTCAGAAAAGGATCCATCAAAACATTACCAAGGGCTGATTATAAAGTGTGCGTGAGCAATTTTCATCATTTCACCTTTTTTCCTCTTTTTACCAAGTATTCTATGTGGACTACACACATTTTCATAAAAAACTAACATTGCTTTACAAAGGCAGTTCTATTTCTATTTAGCTCCAGAAGTACTCATTTACTCTATTATTGACAAGATATTTCCAGATTCTTTCAAGCAGCTGGCACTTTTCTAAGCACTAGGAATATAGCAGTGATATATAAGAGCAAGTTCTATGCTTTCAGAGCTCACATTCTATAGTCAACAGACAAACAGGACAAGTAGCAGATGGTAGTAAAGGCTGTGCAAAGAATTTAGTAAGGTGGGCTGTGATAGTGATGTGATGCTCAGGGACAACTCTGTCAAATATGTGGCTTGAGGTACACAAGACTGAGGTACACTGGGGTTTGAGATAAGGGCCGATCATCTGAAAACCAAGGACAAAACCAAACACACCAGTGCAAGAAAGGCCTTCAAATGGGAAAGGGGTGGGTAGGAGCACAGAACAGAAGTCCTGTGGGGCTGGACCTGAGTCAGCAACAGAGCAGTGGCCAGGTGAGATACAGTGGGAGGAGGCAGGATCAGGTCACAGAGGCTGGGCAGGCCAGAGAGAAAACTGATATTTGGAGTAAGAAGCCACTTTGAAAGCAGGGCAGAGACAGAACCTAGTTTGTATTTTTAAAATGTGAAAAGAATGACAGGCTGGGAAAACAAAGGGCCACTGCTAGGGAAGCTACACAGCCCTTCCTGCTCCACGGTTCCCGTGGCCTGAGCCAGCTGGGCAGAGCGCTTCCTGTACTCAGAGGCTGAAGATAGAGAGGGACCAATTAGGAGCTGGGAACAGGTTTCCATCAGACCAATGCTGTTGATGCAGTGTCATTTACTAAGATGAGGAAGGATCAGAAAAAGAAATCTGCTTGAGAAAGAAAATCTAGTCTGGTTTTAGCTGCCTTGAATTTTAAATTCACACAGGACACTCAAGTGGATATGTCAAGCAGGCCTTTGGAGAAAGGAGTCTGGAAAGGTCAGGGCCAAAGGGCGCATGTTAGGTGGTAATTAACACCAGATGGGGTGCTATGGTGCCTGTAACCCCAGCACTTTGGGAGGTCCAGGTGGGAGGATCACTTTGAGGCCAAGAGTTTGAGACTTGCCTGGGCAACATAGTAAGACTCTCTACAAAAAAATTTTTTTTAATTAGCTGAGAGTCGTGGCATGTGACTGTAATCCCAGTTACTCAGGAGGCTGAGCCAGGAGGGATCACTTCAGCCCAGGAGTTCAAGGTTTCAATGAACTATAATCATGCCAATACATTCCAGCCTGTGCTATAAGCGAAATATTATCTCTTAAAAAAAAATTAAAGTATTGCAAGATTAGAAAAGTATCCAATGTATTCAATACTAATAAAAAGCCAGTAGATTAATTAATACATGCCCGCATGAGAGAAAAACTCAATTTAATTCAAGTTGGGGGGAAGGAAGAAGAAAGGGAATTGCTGTGCCCCCACCTAACAGGCATGACGTAAAGGTGCATGACATACCTCCTGGGTAAAGGCACAACTACAACAGGGCCTTACCTAACACATCCTAATCATCTATACCTTGTATTAATCTGAAATAAAAATAAAAAATAAATAAAAATTAAAAAGAAAATCAACCTGGTGGCAGTGGCCCCTTATGCTGGAAGTGGCAGTTTCAAATCCACCCCTGGCCAAAAAAAAAAAAAAAAACTGCAGGAAAAAAATTAAGCTGGGTGTAGTAGCTCATACTGTAATCCTAGTGCTCTGGGAGGCCAAAACAGGTGGATTGCCTGAGCTCAGGAGTTTGAGACCAGCCTGAGCCAGAGAGACCCTATCTCTAAAAATAGTCAAGAGTTGTGGGGGGCGCCTATAGTCCCAGCTACACAGGAGTTTGAGGCAAGAGAATCACTTGAGCCCAAGAGTTTAAGGTTGCTGTGAGCTATGATGCCATATCACTCTATCCAGGGCGACAAAGTAAGACTCTGTGTCTCAAAAAAATTTTTAAAAATTAATAGTATTTAAAATCAGTCAGCAGGATGAGTCGCTGAGGGAAGATCATAAAGAAGGCCCAAGTTCTGCAACCTTAGCCCTTCAAACTATCAAAGTTCAGTGTAAGCAGAAGAGGCACCAACAAATCAGACCACGGAAGAACCACCATGTGGTGGGGGAAGAATCAGGAAAGTGACACCCACAAAGCCAAGAGGAGGAGGTATATCCAGGAAAAGGAGGTAGTTAGAAATGGCCCTAACAAGGGGGACAGGACAAAACAGCCCAGATCTGAGAAGTAGGAGGCCATCCGTGTTCTGACAACCAGGGATGGAGAGGGTGCTGGGAACAAGAATCAAGAGGAGTGGAGGACAGAACATAAAGTTGGGGAATGGCGAGTCTAAGCCCAGAGGACACTGGAGATGCTCGACATACTCCAAGGCTGACAAGAGTCCTCCAGAACTGTGGAGGGTGCTGCATGGTGGCCTCCAAAGAACCACATCTTAAGTACTCCCCTCCCCTGCAATCTGTTTTAGCCAATGGAAGGCAGAGGAACCTATATGGTACCGTATGGGCTGAGCCCTTAAGAAGGTCTGGAAGCTTCCTGGTTCCTACGAGGCACCACACAGAGTTCAGGCTGCCCCAATGGACCTGAGATGACACACGGAGGAGGAGATCAGCCCTCCCTCCAGCCAGATCATTTCTCTGCATCCCAGCACCTGGCCACCATCTGGCTTGCTTGTTGAATGCAGGCACACAAGTGACCACCAGCAGGACCGGCAAACAAACTGCCTGGGTGAGCTCAAACCAAACTGCACAATGGTAAACAAATAAAATGGCTGCTGTTGTAGTCCAGTAACTGATAAGGGATGCTGTGGAAACAAAGTGCCTGAGAGCTTTAACTCACCTAAAGGATCTAGTATCTAAAGTGAGGGGCTAACAAGTGCAGAAGTATGTTATCATTACAGGTAATCTGACCAGAGGGCTAGTTACATAAAGGAGAAACACATATGCTCCACTAGGAAGAGAAAGCACAATATCCTGGCCTCGGGGAAAGGAACAGTCTGCTAGCTTCCCTTCATGTATCACTGCTGGATGAGCTACCACGAAGTCTATTTTTATATATACATAAAGAAGTCTCGCGGGTATATTGCCATTACAGTAGTCCCTCTAACTATCTGTGGTTTTAATTTCCATGGTTTCAGTTACCCGAAGTCAACTGTGGTCAGAAAACAGGTGAGTACAATATATAAAGATATTCTGAGAGTGAAAAGTGAGAAACAAAGATACATTAACATATCTTTATTACAGTATATTGCTATAAATATACCATTTCTATTAATTGATGTTAACTTCTTACTATGCTTAATTTATAAGATAAATTGTTATCTTACGTATGTATATAGGAAAAAACAGTACATATATAGGGCTCCGTATTTTATGGAGATTCAGGCATCCACTGGGAATCTCTGAATGTATCCCCTGTGGATAAAGGGGATATCTACAGTGTCCTATAAGTTAAACACAATCCCATCAGGTAATACATAATTACTTGCCTTGCTTGTTGGCAATGCTGTCCCACTATGAATATCTCCTCCTAAATCAAAAGTTGTCTCCTGAACAATTCTGTCAGGATAAAAAGGACAAGCAGAGAATTAGTAACTTTCAAATGATAAGGCACAGCCTCTCCATGATAATACAGAAGGAAAAGTTTCACTAAATAGCCCAATCTACAACAAACTGCTTTATTTTCTATACATAAACTTATAGGACAAAAAAATATCATTAATTTTATGAACTTTTCTTACTGGTGCATATTGAATACTCTCAGAATCATATCTTTTTAAACTATAAATTTAAAAAACTGAATGTAAAGAAAAGGCTACTTTACTGTGTGAACCTATTGAGGCTGCAGACAGTGTACAATGAAGCAAAGTGCAAAGACTAAGGAGCCCTTGCCCTGCTCCTGGACCCAGGGAGGGTGACCACACAGAGGCAGGGCACAATCGGATGATTTTTTCCCTAATGCACAGGGCTAATGTAGTTAGGCTACAAATTAAAAAATGGGAAATGCTTAATAATGTTAGTAATTAAATCAGGAGTTTTCCTAGTTTAAATGGAATCCTAAAAATAGCTCAAAATACCAAAATTTCTAAACACATCATTATGAAAAATTAGCTCAGAATATAGATAAAATCTCATCTTGAAATGTCTAATAGGCTGGGGCAGTGAAATTACCAGCACCAATGAAGTTGTGTGTACCAGCCTCCCCCCACCTCCCGACCTCTCATCGCTCATCAGAGATCTAACCCAAGGAGACAGGAGTCTGAATACCAGGAAGCCAATGAAGGTGAATTAGCAGTTAAATTTCCTGGATTTCTGTACAAGGTGATCAAAAAGAATGCAATCTCTTTTGTTACCATATTTGAAAAATTATACAGTCTAATTTCAAAACACCACAGAAACTTAAAACATTCATTGAAGCTCAATCTACAGAATGAAACAAAGAAGTAATACGGATGTTCAAAACAATTTTTCAAATTACAAAAGCAGGTACAATTTCCTCCTCATGAAGAAAATAAAAGTGTCATGTAACACAAAATAATAGCATTCTTTAAAATATTAGTAGTAACTTTTAAAAAATAAAAGCTCATCATGAAGAAAATAAAAGTGTCACGTAATACAAAATAATAGCATTCTTTAAAATATTAGTAGTAACTTTTAAAAAATAAAAGATTCTATTAAAAGCTATATCAACTTTCTGCACACAACTTTATACATCACCAAGTTTCACAAAATTAAATAGTCGTACCTATTAGCGAGATATTCACAGAGACAGAAATGCTCCATAGAGCCCTGGCAGTCTGAGTGGGAAGTTCAGCTCCGCTGCCCACTCTGACAGTGGGAACAGGACAGTGACAGTCACCTCCTACGCTGCCTGCTACAGCTACACATATCCACTGGTCACCCTCGACTTCCTCTCATGGACACTAATGAGTATAATCAATGCCTTCTTGATCCCATTTATAATTATTGCCGTAGAATAACAAATTTACAACACTATGCATAGCACTTTAACTTTCCACCCACCCAAAGCTATCTCCATCAAGCTTTAATGTGGCCCAGGTGTACTCTATCTGGGTATGTGGACAAGTCCAAAGTGACCTTATACGTGATTCTGATATTTCTGAAATATAATCTCTGACTGTCACAATCATTTCTCTTTGATCTTAGCACACAGAGCACCCTGTGAAAGAAAACACTGGAAAAGGCAGTGCAGTGAAGACACCTGCGTGCTGTGCTGTCTGTTCATTAGGCAGAAAGCTGATGTCGCAGAGGACTTTTCGGTCGCTTTAAAAAGCGTGAGAGAAAAGCTACTGCAGCCATTTTCCCAAGATCAATATCCTGTCAACTGCAAAAGTGATAATGAAGTAGCTAAACAGTATACTACAGCTTTAAATTATCATAACCAAAAGAGAGGTCATACTCCCAACAGAGTTTTACTAGATGGTCATTAAGAAAGGACTTTCCCCTCTAACAGGTTCACAAAGCAAATCCTCAGAAGAGCACTGGGTGGCGCTAAGATATTCCAAATTTCCTAAGAGATCTTGATGTGCTTCCTTATTAGACATAAGGAAAAAAAAAATAATAAAAAATATAAAAATCTTAGTAACACAGGAGAATTACATAGAACACTATAATTTTTTCTTTTAGAGACAGAGTCTCACTCTGTCGCCCTTGGTAGAGTACCGTGGCATCACAGCTCACAGCCACCTCCAGCTCTTGGGCTTAGGTGATTCTCTTGCCTCAGCCTCCTGAGTTGCTGAGAACACAGGCACCCGCCACAACGCTTGGCTATTTTTTTTTTGTTGTTGTTGCAGTTTGGCTGGGTCCAGCTTCAAACCCGCCACCCTCAATATATGGGGCTGATGCCCTACTCAGTGAGCCACAGGCGCCAGACACTGTAATTTTTAATAAAAGAGCAGGTATTGTTTTAGTATACTGGCTAAAAAAAAAATCAAAGTTAAAATAAAATTTAAAACCAGTAAGCACTTCTAATTTTAAGAAGAAATTAAAACTTTCCTGTCTTCTTCCCTTTAAAACCAATCCAAATTAACAAAAGTATGAACCAGAATCATAAACCCCACCATGACTTTTTTAAACTGAAAAAAAAAAAAAAAAAAAAAAAAGCCAAGTCACCTTTGTGTAATTCAGATTACCTAAATCCTAAGGCTAGTCTCTAGTACTTACCCAGGTTTATGTCTCGGACCCTTAACCATCAGGCCTCCATCCACAGCTCTTTTGGCGAGAGCGTGATCCTGGCTGGGGTCCACAAACTTGAACACATGAGAGGCCCCAAACTGCACTTTCATGCCACTCTGCAGCATGGTGGTCTCTGAGATGCGCTGGCCCTCCACATAGGTCTCTGCATCCACACTTCTAGGTGTCACGGTAACCACTCCATCCATGTTGGTGAGGTCACAGTGATGGGGCTGAATCCCTGGGCCAAACAGCTGAAAACAGAAGGACACCAAAGAAACTCATCAGGAAAAACACAGTACTTAAAAACAGAATTTCAATATTATGAGCACCCCTTTTATGATAAATGTAATCTGGTAAGCTCTAGATTTTTAGTGCTTTTTTAAAGCACGTTTTCCCCAATAGTATAGGAATTACACACTGTCAAAATAGCGTCAAACAGACCTTTTATTTTGGGACTCAGTAACTTAAGACATATTGTAACTTTGCATGAAAAGCATACAGTCACCTTAACAAACATCCATTTGATAATTTAACAGACAAACCAACACAGGATCACTTAAGGCAATGGTTCTCAACCTTCCTAATGCTGCAATATATTTTCATTGTTACAAAGGGGTTGCAACCCACAGGTTCGACTTAAGCTAACTTAAGGCTAAGAGTTGGAGATCAGCCTGAGCAACATACTGAGATCCAGTCTCTACAAAATATTAAAAAATAAAAAACTAGCCAGGTGAGGTGGCACACGCCTGTAGTCCCAGTTACTATGTAGGCTGAGGTGGGAGGAGTACTTAGAGCCAAGGTTTTGGAGGCTATAGAGAATTACAATTGCACCACTGCACCCGAGTCTAGGCAAATGATCAAGGGGATCCTATCTCAAAAAACAGACAGAAGGGCAGCGCCTATGGCTCAGTGAGTGGAGCACCGGCCCCATATACCGAGGGTGGTGGGTTCAAGCCCGGCCCCAGCCAAACTGCAACAACAACAACAACAACAAAAATAGCCAGGCATTATGGCAGGCACCTGTAATCTCAGCTATTCGGGAGGCTAAGGCAAGAGAATCACCTAAGCTCAAGAGCTGGAGGTTGCTATGAGCTGTGATGCCGTGGCACTCTACCGAGGGCGACAAAGTGAGACTCTGTCTCTATAAATAAATAAGTAAATAAACAGACAGAAAATTTCTATAAATAAATAAATAAACGAACAGAAAATTTCTACCTATTTTTGTCATTGCTGTGCTAAGAATGAAGGAAGGAGTGAGAGAACTGAGAATGCCACCACAGTCCCAAGCTACAACTGAGAAACCAAAGTACAGAGCAAGGGGGGATGTGCCTGGGCTGGAGTGGACTTTAAGGAAGAGAAACATCCTGACTTCACTAATTCAGAGAATGTGTTAAAATCTGTTTTTTAAGTACAGGAAAACTGTGTTCAGCTACCATTTTAAGTATAATTTATTAAATGCCTGTTGCTATGTGTCAGACACAGTAACAGGCACTTCTGCACAGGTTACCTCCTGTAACTGTGACACAGAGCTATAAAAACATCACCATCACTACCATCTTTTAGAAAAAAGGAAGCATCTCAGAAGAACATGAGCCCAAGTTTTTAAGGGTAGTGCTTGACCATAAACTCACACCTTGCTCTTTTACAGGAGAGTAAAATGACTGAATTGACAAATGATGTTCTGTATTTTGCCATGTATAATGCTCACTTTTTGCCCAAATTTCTGAGGAAAATAAGGATGCACATTATACATGAGTAGTATATATGTATACTCAGGAGCCAGGAGCCCAGCAGGCCTGCCAGGACTGCCACATCCTTCCACATGGCCTGCCAGGCATATGAGGTTCCAGTCTGGGAGGATCCAGGATGAGGTGGGAGCAGCTTTCACTCAGTGCTACGATCATGAGAGAGGGTAGCAACAGGTAGTCAGGGTGTAGCTATGCAGGGTTTGGGCTAAAACTCGAGGACCAGTGCAATGGAGCTGTGCCTCCCACATGGCAGGGAGGAAAGACTCCAGGAAGAGGGAAGGGGCCCCTTTCACAGAGAGGGAGGCTACGAGAGAGTGGTGTGATCTCCACACTTACCAGGGGAACATTAGCCTTCCCCAGATATGTCTCTCCTTGCTGACAGCTGCCCAGTTTCTCGAGGTACATTTTCTTGAAAGTTTGGGCCAAAAATGTGGGTGCACATTATACACGGGGTGTATTTTACATGGCAAATAAAGTACATTTAAATACAAAATCTGTTAATCTTAATTCCTTCATTAGTTACCACGTGGCAGGCTCTCTGCCACGTACTGTGCCTCCTGAAACACAAGAGGAGCAGCAGGAACCTCGGCACTGCATCACCACTGCGCACCTGGATAGAGCTGTCATCCAACTTTTCTGTCCCAACTTCAGTCACACTTAACTGGAGGCGGTAGAGCTTTGGCTTATCTCTGGAGTCAGAGCCATCTGCAAGAAGAGAAGGAAGACAGCTCCATTTGCAAAGTCTAATGTTCTTAGAAACATTTGAAACAAACAAACAAACAAACCCAAAAGTTTCTATCTTAGAAAGTACTGTTCTCACTTAGGATTTCTTTTCAAAGAACTCTCCAACATATAACACGGTTTAACAAATTAGATACAGAAAATTCAAATTAAGAAATACATCAGCTCCTCTTTAGTCTTAAGTATTAACATTATCATTAATTTTGATGTTCTAACTACATAAAAAGAAATTTCCTCTAACACAATGCCCTAAATTTTCACTAACAATTCTGTGGAGCAACTGTATTAGCAAAATGAAATTTAAAGACACAGAGGCCTTCAATTCTGCCCCGACCTTCCTGATAGGAAACTGGCCACCGTCAGGGCAGGCAGTTCCCCCAGCCCCGAGGCAGTGTGGCACTCACTGCCAACAGTGATTTAAACAAGATCAAAGTCCTCCAAGATGGGGCCTAACACCTGTCTCCTGGATAATCTCCCCAAGTAATTCCAATGACAGTTCTTGATTCAGAATTACTGTTAAAAGTGCTTAGCTCAGGGCAGCGCCTGTGGCTCACTGAGAGGGTGCTGGCCCCACATACCAAGGGTAGCCGGTTCGAACCCAGCCCTGGCCGAACTGCAACAACAACAAAAAGTGCTTAGCTCCCTGGAGTGGAACTAGGGTGAAGAGTACAAAAGACTATTGAAATTTTTTTTTGGGGGGGGGGGTCATTTTAAGCTTTTATGAACTATAGGAATTTTTTAATTCCCTGAGTGTGAGATTCTGTGATAGGGAAGGCATGGGAAGGAGGAGGAAGAAGCAGCAGCTGTGCCAAAGACCTGGTCCCATTTTACACCCAGACATGTTTGCTCACTTCCCATCTACTATAGCCCAGTTGATCAAGACGTCCACTGAAGATTTACTCTGATTTCAAAGATGTTTACACATGAGAAATATGTGCCTCAAAGAATTCATGAATTATGATACAGTTTCCAAGTTCAACATTTGCACCACAGCCATGATGGTCAGTCCAGCACTGCAAATACACCAGGGAGGCTTCCTTCACACGTGAGGCCACGTGAGTCTCCCTGACCCACCGTGACTGTAACAGTCACTGAGTCAGCAGTCAGTTAAAATCTCTAGTCATGGGATTGGGAATGTAAGATTTGGGAGCTTCACAAGTTAGAGAGGTTTAGAGGGTATGAGCAGGCATGCAGTTTTAGACTCCCAAAATCTTAGTGGTAGTGAGATCTCAACTCTCACAGACAAAAGCCACCCTGAATATGCAACTTCTATGAGAACTGATATTAATTTTAGGGTACACAAAGTAATATTCTAATGACAAAATTTTCTATTTCAAAAATATTTAGAAATATTCAGAAATCTGTGACATATGGGCAAAGGTAAGATAAGACTGAAGTATGTGAGCAGCACCAACACCTGACATACATCTAAAAGCGGAGTCATCATTTGTGTGGCTTCATACGATGCTGGAATGTTTAATTTTCAACTCCAACTGTGCCAATAAAGTCTTTATCAGAACAAATCCCCAAACCATTCAGGGCTTCTCCTGCACACAGTGTCTTCCCAGACCTGCTGAGTCCCAAACCCCAGGAACATTTACCATTTTATTTTACACACCATCAGCAGTTCCAATGAACACTCTGGTAAAGAAACGTGTCCCTCTTCCATCCGCCCCCTCTACTTTTTCATAATAATGCCACTAATCACATTTGAAGATGACTTCTGTTCCTCCTCTCCCTTGGCTCCAATCTCCTTGGGGGCTTTAAAAAAAATCTCTTTACCCTGGCACTGAGCACTCAGCACAGGTCCACATATGTCACTAAATAAGACTTACTGTGTTCACAGTGGGTAACTGTACTAAAAGATAATGAAAACAGAATAATACAATAGAGTCACACAGAAATTACACAAATTATAAAGAAGCAAAAGGAATAAAGAATCATGTGAAACTACAACAACTGTTTCAATGCAAAGTTAAAAACATAACAACATGAAAAGCATGTCTGTTTAGGAATGAAAGAAAACTTTACATTCACGTTCTTTTGAACTGTGAGTGTTTCTGAAAGGTGTCTTGGGAGATGACACAGAGAAGCCACACGCTGCTCCCCACCAACAGACCCAGAGACGCAGGGAGGGAGAGGCGCAGGTCCTCACAGGAACCCACCAGCAGAGACATCAGAAATAAACTCCCTGCCCAGTCTCTTATTACCACTTTCCAGTAATAAGAGAAAATAATAGTTAAAGCCTTTATAAATACTGAGGAACCTAAATGGTAACCACAGGATTTGGTGGGTAAAACGGTGTTTGGCAGGAGCTAGGGGAGAAGGGGAATATAATGGTGCAGTTCCTTCTTCTTCAAACTCTGATTATCAATCCACAGGCAGTAAATACACAAAACTGTTGGCTAAAACAAAAATTCCATATTTTCTCCCCTTCCTCAAAAAGTAGCCCACAAATAGTTACTTTCTTCCCAAAGGGCCTGAGCACCTTTCTTCCCAATAGATAGCTACAGTCAATACGAAGCACAATGGAAAGCAGAGACAGATCTAAACCACCACCTCATATGCAGCAATGCCTCTGCAGAACACTTTCTTCCATATTCTACACAGGAGGGAGACAGACTGGTGAACAGAGCCCAGGGAGAACCTTTAAACACCCTTTGTCCTTACTCCACAATTCTATACAGCCAATGCTGCTTCCCAGGGTGAACCTGAGGAAACAAGGCGGCAAAATAAGCTTCTAGTGAATGAAATGAATTACAAGTTAATGATAGCACATTAAATTTCTTAAAGTGGGTTATTTACATCAACTGTAAAACTGATACATAAAACATTCAGTCAATATTATTTTCCCCATGAGTTTGTTAGAGCTCTAGTTACAAAAGTCGTATTAAGCATAGCATTACCTTCGTAAGTGTGATAGCTGTAGTAGGCAAAGTGATTCCCTCTCCCTGGGGTTAAGACACATGCCAGGACCCAGGTGAAGGCCGCATCAGCAGGACAGAGGCCATGCAGAACAGGCGCAAGAGAGAAGGAGGAGAAGAGACATGTTTCAAAGAGAGAAAGGGTACATTTCACCCACCAGCATTTAGAGTTGTGAGGACAAGACCACACCAGTGCTCCAGCCAGTGTTTTAGAAACTGATACAGACTGTTAAGGGAAACAGCAGGACAGCAACAGTGAGTTAGTCCTACAGAGGACCTCCACCCCAATGGCTGACAGCTTCTGCTTAAAGAACATATCCAACTCCAAAGCAAGAAAAAAATAATATTTACTCCCCATTCCTCGAAAAGACAATGTGCACACATCCAGATCTCAAAAAAAAAACTCCTATCCACACCTAGCAGACCTCACAACACTTAGGACAGATGTTTGTTTGCTCACATAGTGGCAATAAGCTACTTACTGATTCATAACAAATCATTATGTATGAACACTATTTTCTTACAAATGGAAAACAGATCTATTTCGTTCAGCATGCTGTGAGCAAATAATCATGAAAACCTAAAAAGACATCATGACCCAATAAAAAACCATGGCTTTGGTGCAAAGACCGTGGCCTAGCATTTGGGCCTGCCACCACCAGTGAGTTGACCTCCAGACATCAGTCAGACACCTGAACTTCAGGCACTTGTGGAACAACAAATAAGGCTACCCTGTACCAAGCAGTCCACAGCTCAGCAGGAATCCAGCAGTCTCTCTAGACTAGAGACAGGAGTCATTCCTCACAAGGGGGTGGGACCACCTGCTGGTGGATGAGTCACGGGAAGGCAGGCAGGAACAATCTTATTCACCTCTATGGTATACTGCTTTGCCTAATGCAGAAGGTCAACAAATGCTGACTTAAGGGAGCAGAGTGCCATGAGGAAAGCAATGTATTAAAAGGCATGTGATACAGGTTGTTGCCGGTATTGTGGTGGAAGGTAGAACAGAGTATCTACAATCTGCCATCTTTTCACACCTATAAAATACTTCTATATACTTCCACAAGTATAAAATATAAAGTCCTGAGGTCAATAGGTTTAACCTATTTTGCTGGTGCTACAACCCCATGGCACAAAACAGTGTGTGACAAATTAAGTATTCAATAAATACTTGTCAAATGAATGAAGGAATCCGCTCTCATCCTGCTCTACCCACCAAAATAAACTTCCTATTACTCATTTGAAAATTACTCTGTTAGCAACAATTTACCACTTTCTCTGACAGCTAACACCCTTTAATCCTCAGATACATTGAGTTGGGGAAAACAATTGTTACTTTTCAGCATTTAATGTAAAAATTTAAAGGGCAGACTCAATGCCCAAAAAATATTATAAAAAAATTTTAAGTTAAAAAGCATATGGCTGCCTGACTGTTGCCATCCTTCATCTGGGATGACCAAGTACTAATCACCTTTCACACCAGAGACACACAGTAATACTGGAACATGTTTCTAAACTACTGCAAGGAAACAAACTTCAAATCAATCTTCCAGCCAGAAAAGTAACAGACAAAGCAATACTAACGTATTCCTTGGAAATAATTAATTTTAAAAAGCCTTCAAATCTAAAAGTAGAAAAGTATAGAAGTATAAAAGTATAAGTATAAAAACCACTACTGAAACCACACAGCCACTGACTATGGAGGACTATCAAAACAATATCATCACTACCTGTACCAATATAACCTAGCTATACCATTAGACTGCTAGACAACAAATACCATATCTAATCATTAGCTCATTATAACTTAGCTGTAAGAAACTAAGCAAACCTTGTAAATAAAAATATATAAATATATACTTCAAAAAAGCCACAATTCACACCCATGGAATCCTATATTATCTCCACAACTGATACACTTTTCTGCTAATTTTTTCCATGATTACTAATTGGCCTTTATCCAAATGCAGTTTGGAAAAGGGGTGTAACAATGATCTTCAGAGCATTTTATAATGCAGGTCACATAACACTAGTTTAACAAATTAGAATTTTAGCTGAATGATAAATACGTTATATGTAACACACATAAACACAAATATACACAACACTATATAAGGATGTGTGTGTATAGAAAACATTTCTTTAAGAATGTCAATGTATTCCTCTCTCTAATGGCTAACCTGAGACAACAGCTTTAGCCTTTGGGAGTTCTAAAAATAGGGCTAATATAAAATTAACCTAGTCCCTTACCCTTTTAAAATCAAACAGCTTTCCTCTCACTAAATGAATTTCTTAAATGTACTATAAAATTTAAAGACATGTATTCTTTCAGACATCATTTATGCATTATTCGGTGTAAGATTTTACACACATACACACACACACCTCTACTAAATTTGCCTCAGGAAAGTACATTTCAGTTTGTCATTTTTAGGAGATTATTTTAATTAAAGTTATCTTGGAAAAAATCATTTTAAAGGGGATGAATCATTTTAAACTCTTTTAAAACTATATAGTATTTTAATTGTTTTCTTAATACTCATTTTTGTCCATGCAAATTTTATTTTTATGCATAACCTTTAGTTTTTTGACCAAAAAAAAAAAAAAGGTCTAAAAACATTAAGTCAGCCCAATATAAAGGCCACTTAAATAAGATGCATGACAAAGTACAAGCACTTAAAGCTAAAAATGTATGCATGTGTATAACATTTCCCAGTATAACCAGCCACCTCACCTGGGCTTAACTCCACTAAATATGGCAGTTTCTCAGGGGGAAGGGCAGAGCCGTAGCCAGCAGCATCAGCTCTCTCCTTCCCTTTCAGCTGCTTCCCTTCCAGATGTTTCTTTGTTTTCTTTGGGATGTAATCTGGTGGCCTCCTCTTCAATTGAAAGACTAGAATCCCTAGAACAGTAACAGTGGAAATCATCAAGAGGCCCAGGTAGGCCTGGATGGCCAGCTCACTGGCAGTCTACTAATCAAAGAGTTATCATCAGTAAGATGAATCAAACTTGATAACATCCGCCAAGAAATCACTGAACCAAAGCTTCCCCAACTTACACTGTTACATAACAGAAGAATTACTAGTCTCATGGTGTGTTCTGAAAAGTTCCAACAAACAATTTTCAAAAATATTTTAAATTACCCAAGGATATCGTATGCTTAAAAAACAACACAACACATCATCTAAGAATAAATGGATGCTTATATTGGCAAACAATCTTATGATAATATACTCAGACACATATATAAAAACATATTCACACACAAATTATATACAGCACATAAATATATAAAATATATTTTAGTTGATATGATTTTTATTTAATTCCACTGAATTAACCCTGAATTCAAGGCAATTTGACTTTAATAAAGTTTAACTTTAAATCTTTTAAAAATAAAAGTAGTAAACAAGTGTTTTCAAGGTTAGAAATCTGCTTGCTAATAGTTTTTATTTTTCTTTTTTTTTTTTTTTTGTATTTTAAAACTACCAACCTACATTCAATACTGACATGATAAACTGGCAATAAACGTTGATGTCCTTACTAATGCAAAAGTTTTCTACTGAGCAAAAGTCAATTCATGACAAGGATCTTCCCCTTCCTGATGCAGTGCTAATACTCTGGGTTTTCCGTGAGCTGCCGTTCACCTGCTGTGTTACTGTTAAGGTCTATATAGGAGATTCAGGCAGTCTGAGTGTGGCCATAGGAGCCACCCATCAAGTCCACAAAGAAGGAAAAAAGCTACACAGCAAATATCCATCAAAAAATATTCATGTGGGCAGTGCGTAGCTCAAAGGAATAGGGCACCAGCCCCATATACCAGAGGTGGTGGGTTCAAACCCAGCTTCGGCCAAAAAAAAAAATTCATGTATACATCCCTTGAATCATCTGATAAATTGAACAACTGGTATATCCCATACAAATCCAAAGTAAGTAATCCTTTAACAAACAAAATCACTCTTTACCTTTGTCACTGGGCCATTCCCTGAAGATCTGTAAGGGACACTCATCGTCGTCAAGGATGGCCTCTTTAGCACCTTTCTCATCAGAATGCTGAGACCCGGGAGGAAGCATGACCTAAAAAAGAAAGTAAATAACTGTCACTGTACTTAAAAGTACCATTAGCACATTAGCAAGGATTTAAATGAAAATGTCACTGTAGAATCAAATTCATCAAGCACTACAAATTCTCATTCATCAAATAATCATCAATGAAAATGAAGGAAATAATTTACAATAGAAAGTTAAGCTAGTTCATTTTGGTCCCCTAAAAAGAACTATTATGAGTGTGTGGGCTTTTTAAGTAAGTGAGGTGATGGTTATGTTAATCAGTTTGATGTGGGCATTCCACATTATATATCAAATCAGTACACTATACCCCATAAATATACAGTTATGATTTAATAAAAAAAATTATATGGAAAGACTTTATGTAATGGTTAAATTCTAAGTAACCTCTTAGTCTTGAGGAAAGACAGTCTCACTGTTACAATTTCAAACTCTCTAATCCCTAATCTAGCTTTCCACATTCAAATAATGGTTTTTATTAAGTAGGTTCATACAACATGGATCTTTTTTTAATTTTTAATCTTTTTACTTTTTTGAGACAGTCTCAAGCTATTGCACTTGGTAGAGTGCCATGACATCATAACGCACAGCAACCTCCCACTCTTGGGCTCAAGTGATCCTCTTGCCTCAGTTTTCTATTTTTAGTGGAGATGGGATCTCGCTTTTTGCTCAGGCTAGTCTCAAACTCGTGAGCTCAAGCAATCTCCCCACCTTGGCCTCCAGGTGTGTGCTAGGATTATAGGTGTGAGCCACCATGCCCAGTCCAACATGGATCTTTTAAAATCGCAGCTACACACCAAACAACCAGGACAGTTTTTATAAAGTGGGCTCAGGCAACATGGGCTCTTTTAGGATAACTATCACACAACAAACCAGAATAGGGTTGATTTCTTTTTCTTGTAAATAATTGTCTACCTTCATGTATAAATTTTAAGTACACCATTTAGGTACATTATAGGGCCACTCATTCACTCAACAAATTTTTTTAAGCAACTATTTTAAGATACTATGTTCACTGTACTCTTAAAAATTCATAATGCTGTATTACAAATGTTTTTACTATAGCCAATCAATTTTGTAAACATCTAAGAAAGCTACAAGAAATGCGTATCAGAGAGCAGAACAGTAGACAACGCTTGCCCAACAGCCTTCTACACTCCATCGGCCTGTGTGCCATCGTCACTGTAATACAACACTAATGCTGACCAGAACACAGTCACAGGGAAAGGTAGAGAAAGCCTGTCACTGGCATCTGAACTTTGTTTTCAACCTGTAGTTAACGTAATGGTGTTACCATAATAAACCTTACCACTCAAATGTACCGTGGTGTTTACACACCAATGGATTAGACTCTTCCATAGAACCTTCTACTTTCTCTCTGTACCGCTTCAATTAACCCAAAAGGACAAACTAACCAGTCTTATGATAAATTAATCTCTCTTTATAGCATTTGCATTAAATTTAGTATCTTGGCCGAGAACATACTACTTAAACATCTGACCTTCATTCATCTCTTTAGTTTCAATCTTTGTCTAACATTCAAAGCCAAATGGAAAAGGCCATGGGGGAGGGGGGTGACCACATGTCTGACCCCCTGTCTCATAGCCAGCTACTCAGCTTTAGGGTATTTCTGGGGTCCTCTTGGGAAAAGGGATCCATTCAGTCAGCTAGTAGGCTTAAGATTTAATTTTACTTCACAGTTATAAATCCAAATATCTTTGAGATTGTTGACCCAAAATGCAAGTTCTATAAAATCATTTAGAGAGGTTTATTCTGAGATTGTTGACCCAAAATGCAATCTCTTCAAAAAGCTTAGAGAGGTTTACTCTGAATATGTATGGCTATAACCTGGACCTTCACAATCTCACGAGTTCCTAAGAAAGTGTTCTCATGGTGGTGGGTTAGGTTTTGTTTTATACATTTTAGAGACAAGAATTCTAATTATTAAAATTATAAATCAATACATGGAATGTATACAATGGTTTGCTCCAAAAAGCAGAATTTCTCCAAGAAGAGATACATGTTATAGGTGAAAAGGTTTGGAATCAGCACACACACACACACAAAAAAATGTTTTAAGGTAAGGAACTCTATTAATCATACAGTCAGCCACAGTACACTGACTCAAAGTAACGTGCTAAGCAAAATGATGGCCTGTAGGTGTGACTTCACCTTTGGAAGATGTGGAACAAGTTGTGCCCACCTCCTCTCCCTTGATGGCAGGAACCTCAGTTTAAGGTTTTTCTGAGGTCCCCTTGGCCAAGAGAGGGTCCGTTCAGTCAGCGTAGGGTGTAGAATTTTATTTTTAGCTCATAAGACAAATGAGGATGACATCCCATAGTTGCTTTAGTAATTCACTTTGGAATATATTATGATTTCACAATTTTCATTATTCCAAGAGCTATGTGAAGAAAGATTTTTAATTTAAAATGAGGTATTTTAAGTGTTTTTGTTTTCTATTTCTGGCTATTTTGTGTAAAATACAAATAATAAAGCATGTAAAATGTGTATATTTTAAGAAATACATGATTTTGGTTTTACTAATACAAAATTAATTTTTAATGTTTCCATTAAAACATTTTGGTAGGATTGAAACGCTTGTTTGATAGGAATGTCTGCTTCGCAAACATTAACATTTAACAATCAGCACAATGTACATATTTCACTAAAAAGGAAGAGCCAAATAGCAGGGAACCACTCAGAGTCCTCAGACAGAGACCACTACACACTCTTCCAGGGCCCCCTGGCGCCAGCTTTGCTGTCTCTGGTGAGCTTCATCCATCGCTCAGTTAAAGTATAACTTGTCCAGGAAGCACTCAGTGACCTCCATTCTGATGAAAGCTCCTTGGTTGTATTTCTGGTTCATGGCATGTCTATCTTCCTTTACCCTAAGTTTTTTAAGGGCAGTGCTTATTATCCCACCATAGTTTCTAACAAATAGAAGGAACTTAAATATATACTGAATAATTAGATTTTAAAAACATTACAAAGAACATGAAATAGTATTATTTATAAGATAGAAAGCCAAGAGATAAAGGACTTCCAATTCAAAATAAAAGTAATAATCGACTCCCAGTTTGTGTTGTCTGAGCTTGCAAAAAATTGTTATGGCAATAATAGAGTAGAAAACCCAAAGGACTTCAAAAGAAGTTATCAAATGACCTCAACTGGGACTGTAATAAAAGCCAAAGCTTGACTCACAAACCCTGATTCAGTCGTCCTATCACTTTCTCATTTTTATCAGTAAAGTATCAATCAGAAACCACTGAAAAGATTAAATGTTATAAAAGTATTATTACACATTATATCACATGCAATTTTACGGAACTGATATTACTAAATAGACTTATATACATTTAATAACAAAAACATTCCTTTAGCAAATAACTTGAGCAGTATCAGGTGCAACAAAGGTATTCTTACAGTTCACAGCCCTCCAGAGGACACAACTGAAAAAGGATTAGGCCTTTGTGTAAGTAATGTAGACTCTATTTACACTGCCACTTTGCTAAGAGTTAATAACCAATTTTAAGTATAAGACAAACTTATCATAAAATCCATCATATTTGTGGACTTAAATTATTCCATAGTTAAATTGTATCTTCTACATATATAATAACACTTGTCATATATTTCTTTTGAAAAGACAAGTAATTATCTCGTAAGGCTTAGCATTATAAAAGGGCTTTCCTCTACCTCATATTCACCTGGTATGAGGAAAACACACAGAACATCCTCTATCTCAAGTATTACCCCTTCACGAGAACATATAACCATGTCACCCACACAACCTTCCATCCCTACCCTGTCAATGAATTTCAGTTGGTGACAGTTACTTCACCTATGAACCTTACTATTCAGAAGTAGAAGTATTTTTGTTTCCCTTCTTGGAGAACCTTTTGTCCTTTAAATTTATCAATACTATTTCTTCCTACTTAATACTAACAAAGGCCAAAGAATAAAAACCTGCATCAAATCACCAAATACCCATGTACTCATCCTCATCTCTCTTCTCCCACCCCCACAATGAAACGAGCTTTGCTGTATTTCCTTCTGATTCTGAATAACACAAACTCTATTAAAAAAAAATTCAAAAACAGAAAAAACAAAATGAAGAAAAAATACTACTGTAAGAGAACTGTATTTTTGTGATCCATTTATTTTACAAGGAGCTTCACATCTTAATCGTAAGCACACACGGGAAGTCTTCTGCTCCTCCCCCTTGCTCTTATGTGGGTAGTCTCGTATGATACATATTCACAGCAGTTCCTCGCATCACTTTATGTGACTACTGTAACAAAAATAGGGTATTTTTAAAATGTAAAGCATACTCTCCTTCACTGTGCTTTGTTTTATTTACTGCGTTTCACAGATGACGCTGTTGTGTTGTGTTTTTTAACAAAGTGAAGGCACAGGGCAACCCTGCATCAGTCAAGTCCACCAGGGCCGTTTTTCCAGCAGCATGTGCTCACTTTGTCACATTTTGGTAGTTCTCTCAGTATTTCAAACTTTCTCATCATTATTATATCTACTACAGTGATCTGTGATCAGTGATCTTTGATGTTAACATTACAACTGTTCTGGAGCCCATCTGTTTTCCCATCTACTTTCAGCTAAACTTTGAACCATATTCATAAAACTACAGATCTAACTAGATTGATTTCCAACTCAAGCTAACTTCTGAACAACAACAACAAAAAAATTATAAGCAAGCTCTTTTATTTAATTAATTCCATCTATAGCAGTGGTTCTCTCAACCTTCCTAATGCTGCCACCCTTTAATATAGTCGAGACCCACAGGTTGAGAACTGCTGATCGATAGCTTACAAAAGACCTGTACCCTGAGGGCTGTAAACACAGCTGAGAGGACTGAAGGAACTCAGCAAGGGAAGAGGTACAGTCTGCCCACTCTGTCTTAAATGCTGTGACGACAAGAAGTCTCTAAGTTCATCTACAAATGCAATGCAAGAGAAATCACAATCCCAAAATGTTTTGTGTAGAAATGACAATCTGATTTTAAAATGTTTACAAAAACACAAATAACTCAGAATAAACAAAGCAATTTTTAAAAACAAAGAACAAAATTGACATTTACTTTACATGATTTTAAGACTTATTCTTAATCTACAGTAATTAAGATACCGTGGTATAGGCAAAAAGGCATATAGACCAATGGAACAGAACAGAGTCCAGAAACAGAACCACGTATCTATGTGGCAAATTGATTTGGGGGAAATTTTTATCTTCTTCAATTTGCTTTTTTATATTTTTATTTTGTTAATATAACAGAAACAAATAGAACTTTTGTAATGGACGGGAAACTCCATTTTCTTGCTTTTTGCTTTAAAGATGTATTTAACAAATGGTTTCAGTTTATCAGATCTTAAATGATACAGTGGAAAGAAAATCAACCTGGGTTTCATTTTATTTAAAGAATATTTTCTATTTAATGTAAGGGCCTAGTACATGTGAAACTGATAAGAAATACTGATCTGATAAAGCTACTTACCCGAGCAATACAGTAATCCTTAGGGTTTTCTTTCTCCAGACCGTATTTCTCCAAAGCCTCTGCCACAGCAAAGTCTGCAGGGTCTGTAGTAGACAGCAGGATGGTCTTGTAGGGAATATTTGGTTTTAAACTATCTGCATAAATTCTCAATGTTCCACCTGAAAAAAAATTTTTGATGTCTTTGAGCATAATTTTATCATATCCAATAATAGAGGTAGCTAAAATTGACAATCACTTAAGAAAAGGGCACCTCAGTTCTAGCTGCAGAGGCAAAGGCAGGTGCGCATCTCTCTGGGTGCAGATGAACGTGAAGGAAAACTCTCTACCTTTCATTTCCTGTTAGACGTACATGAGCGGTAACTGGTGGATCCACTGGCAACACTTGAAACTCCTGAACAATCCAATGTGACAGACTCTTTCTGCCCTCTCTTTAAGGCACCGTGTTTTTTATAATAATGAACTGATTTCCATTATACTAAGAAAAGAGGAAGGAACCCAGAGTTTCCTTTCAGTGCTGCTCTCTTGGGCTGCTTTCCCATCCACTATCTAAATACCGGGATAGACCTATTTCCCTCACTTCTGCTACTTCCTGATCATCAATCTAAAACTTAAATTTAAAACCCAGATAAAATTAAATCTCAACCTCACTAAATATATCCACTTTTTAAAAGTGAAATAGAAATCAGAAAAAATCAGGTGCTTGTGGCCAAAGACTGTTGATGAAGAATCTGCAATCAGAGCACTGCTCTATTTTTATTTCCAGGCACTACAAACTACATTATCACTTACAGCTATGAACTCGACTAGAGCAGAACAACTTAAATATTTTTCTTTTTTGCTTGTTTCTTTTTAATGGAAATCTACATTACAGTATTGTCACTTGGAGTGTCATGTTGTGTCACAATCTGCTTTCTATTTACAGTCCAATGTTATTAAGCCCTGAAATCTTAAGTCTAGATGAAAAGATCCTAAGGAAAGAAATGAAGAATGCTCCACACCCTATAGAAGATCTCTACGAATTTCCTGAAGCAAGTTCTAAATCTCTACTGGTCCTTCACTCTTTTTAATTCTAATGCAGTTATTCTGGCTATTGAAAATTTCTCATATTCTCATTTTCAACAAATCTGACCCAAAGTACATTTTGATAACTTGGTCCACAAAGTTAATGCTGTTTTATAAAGAATGAACCAGTCCACCTTAGCATTAGAATGTGGACCGGCTGAGCCAGGCTCTTAGCATATGGTGACCATGAGCAAATTCACACTGTTCTAACGCTGAGGACACAGGTCAACATTCTTGCCTTCAAATGACATACACTCCCTGTAAGAGAGGTAGAATGCAGGGGGAGAAGACTAACAAGAGAACAAGTAGTAAAAGAGACTGTGAAAAATATGAGGATGGTTGTAAGAAAGCATACTCATCATGTTTTGACTGAGGGCTTCCTAAGTGCGGGGGATCTGGCCCAGACCTCCCTGAAGAATCAACATCTCAACTGAGACCTGAATGAGGCAACAGAAGCAGCTGTGTAGAAATCTAAATGAAAGGCTTTCTCTATGGGGGAGCAGCAAGTACAAAGGCCCAGGGCTGGAATAAAGCTGGCCTGGTCCACGGGACAGTGTAGACCAGTGGTTCTCAACCTTCCTAATGCCGCAGCCCTTTAATACAGTTCCTGTGGGTCGCGACCCACAGGTTGAGAACCACCGGTGTAGACAGAATGAAGGAAAGACAGAGATGCAGTCAGAGACTGGCTGGGACCAGATCACTCAGGACCTTCCTGGCCATGATTGAGAGTTTGGATTTGATTCTAGTTGAAGTGTGGAAGCCATAAGGGTTTTAAGTTCTGCATGTACTGAGTGTATAAAACAAAGAGAAAATGTGCACATGTGTATGAATGTGTACACATCTGTGGGGGTGTGTGTGTGTGTGCGTGTAGGGAGGTAGGCAAAATGCCACTTGTGCTTTTCAAAGAAGCTCTGGTGAAGGTGGGGACACAGCAACAGCAGGGAGGCCAGTTCAAATAGCGTGTTCCACTGTGTCAAGACACAGCCCTCTTTCTGTCATCATACTTACTTTCAAACATAGATCTGAAGTAATTTATAAGAAAAACATGCAAAACAGGGTGAACAAACAACTTTGTAAACTGAGGTGACACAACAACAGACACCTAAGGAGCAAAGCACAGCTTCTACTCTGAAGGCTGAAGACATGAACTCATGTCCACACCTGGATGCCACACCAAAAACAAACATCTCATTTTTCTAAAAAAAAAAAAAACTGACATCTGCTAAATGTAGACAAGTACTAAAGTTACAAAGCATAAAAGACTATTTGGATTTTGGTGGTCTGAAAAAAATGTAAACACAGTGTTTGTCAGAAAGTCATTTTAAAAAAAAGCCACTTTGGTTCCTACAGACAATCTTTTGAGTGACACTTCTCAAGGACACACCAGAATGAGATATTATAAAATTCATACTTACATGGCCAATGAATTTAGCGATTAGGTGGAATTACTTTTATTATCTATTTGAATGTTTTACAACATCTGTCTAAAACTATGACTTGGTTTCAGTGTTGCTGAGTGTCAAGGTATTCTGACACATAAAAGCAGCAATAAATTTTAAAGGTTTCAGTTTACAAGCTTAAAACCATGGTATTGTCATGGGAGAGACAGTCATCCCAATTTACTAAGGAAGAACAGAGAGCAGAGATGCTAACATTTTAAAGTCCCTATTTGAATAAAGTGATGTCTCTGTTCCAAAATTAAGGTCACTGTGCCACTTTGAAGATGAAGCAACAGAAGCTCACAGCTTGTGCTTCAGCAGTCCATCTGAACCCTTATCCCAGGTCCATGTTCTTCCACATGTCACAGTGCCCTCCTGCTCCCAAGAGTGTGCGCTAAGAAACTGAGGTAGACAAGGATCAACTTCCGAAAAATTCTCTTACAATTCTGTTAATGTGTTACTCACTGAGAAAAAAACCATATACAACTGGTAGTGGAATATTTGTGCCACAAATCAGTTAACAGAGCAACACAGGGCATTTTCAAAACATCACAAAGTGAATATATCAGAGTGTCAAAGATGCTTTACAAAGTTCAGGGAAAAACGTGTCCTCAGGACTGACACCTGTTCAGCTGTAGAACGAGGCTAACAGCACAGGTTAGGTCACAGAACTTGGGGACCAACTCAAGGAGTGACAAGACAGAAAAACAATAGCCTCAGCAGTCACTCTCAGGAAAGTGGTCCCCGCAGATGCGCCATGTCTCCAGCCCATACTACACAATCAACCTAACAACAGCTACAGTAGGCTCTAAGGATATACTTTTCTGAGCATATTGTTTATTACAAACAAATAAAAACCTTGAGGAAACTTAATACTTTGGGCTTCCTTAATACTAACCATAAATAGCTATTTTGCTAATAATATTTAGTTTTTACAGTTTCCTGGGGTTCCATATACAGAAAACTAGTCCTTCTGCCCCCAACTACTCCTTCAACAGACAAACTCTACCTAAAGCTCTGCTGTTTTTCCTCCTAATTCTTTGGGATTTTTTACTGTTTTCTTTTCTGACTCCTCCCAACTGCCTTACCCCAAGGTTTTTTATGACCTGTACAGTTTCTAGCCAACAAATCTCACCTATACTCACTGACTCTGCCTCCCCACCAGATTCTTCCCAAACCTTTACCTCCTTCACCATTCCCCACAGAGCAGTGCTCTTGTCACCCACCCTCCAGCCTAGAACAGATCCCACATCCCAGCATCTGGTATAATACACATAAACATAACCTATCTTCCACTCCAAACTTCTTTCATTCCACAGCCCATTGACATGTTTACTAATTAAAGATGGGCTGTCATCCTGAATGCCTCCACTCCTCAGTAAAATCCAGTCTGCTACCAGTTTCTAACCCTTCCAGCTCTTCAAATATTTCTTCAGTCCTTTCTTCTTCACAGCCCCGCTATCAGTGACAGGATCAGAAGCCCCTTACTCCTTACGTTAGCAATCCAATATTCTTTAACAGGCACTCCCGCTTCTAATCCCAATTCCCTCAAATACACCTTCCTGAAACAGCAGAACTTTGGTTCCACAGTAATCTCTCGAAATATGAAGCTTAGTAAACTAGAAGCTTCCTAAATCCTCAGCTTAGAACTCTCAGCAGCTTAATAACAAAGCATAGCAAATTCTTCCAAAGTACCTCAATGACAATGGAAAATAAACATGAGTACCCAGGACACAGGCTAAGTGACCTGAAAAAAGTTCCTATTTCAACCTAAAAATACACATAAATGTTGCATTTTAATGCACAACATTTCTCATCATAAAAATATTTTTTAAGTTACTGATAAAAACTGATACTCTAAGCTATCTTTATCATGACTCACATACCTCTAGACCATACTTAAATATTCCTTGAGGCCACCATAGATTCGACCTCAGAAATTCATTTCAGTAAAGATGTCAAATTCCATCCTGGCACGGTGGCTCACATCTGTAATCCTAGCACTTTCAGAGGCTGATACAAGAGGATCCCTTGAGCTCAGGAGTTCAAGACAGGCCTGAGCAACAACAAGACTGTGTCCCTACTAAAAATAGAAAAAATTAGCCCAGCATTGTAGCAGTTTGCACTTGTACTCCCAGCTACTCAGGAGACTGAGACCAGAGGATGGCTTGAACCCAGGAGTTGCTGTGAGCTAGGCTGATGCCACTGCACTCTGGCCAGGGGCAACAGAGTGAGACTTTGTCTCAAAGAAAAAGAAGGAAGGGGGAGGGAAGACTATCAAACTCCTTCCTATGGCATACAAAATGCCTTCAAGTCTAGTGTGTGGTCAATATTCCTCTTGTCTTTTTAAAAATTTTTACTACCTTTCTCCTTATTTATATTTTCTCTCCTTCTCCTTTATCCCCCCTCCCTTTTTTTTGGTGTATGTATTTATAAATCATTTCAAATTCTTGATAGAACAAGACAGGATATATATAAGCAAATAATATATTAGAATATTTATGGAACCCAGAAGTCCCCCACCTATTTACTTTAGTTAATTTATATCACCAACACTCAAATCCTATGAAATACATAATTAAGATTCAGTGATTGAGTGCTAAATAAGCATGTAATATTTATGTGGCCAACTTGCACCACAGTCAGTTTGTCTGGAACGTGCTACACAGAAACATGATCAGAAGAAACAGAATCTCACTACTTTCTATAATGGGGCAGAATCCAGTAACTACCCACATTGTAATGTATAAATCTTATTTGGATGTCATTTCAAAAGATTCGTCTGACCCAATCAAGAAAATTTAAACAATGACTAGGTATTTTTGATAAATAAAGAAATTACTGTCAATTCTTTTATAGGTGATAACAGTATTATGGTTATGTTTTAGTTTTGAAGAACCTTTGTCCTTTAGGAAAATATACCAAAATATGTATTTATTATAATGGGAAGTCTGGTATTTGATTCACAATAATAGTTTGGGGATAGGGGCAATGTATATTGGAGAAGAAATATAAGTTGTTAATTATCAAAATTTAGTGATAGGTACATAGGGTTCCTTGTATCTTCCTTGCTTGTATATATATGAAGTTTTACAGAATTTAAAAAAAAAAGAGCTGTATTGGGTGAGAATATGTAATATTAAACATATCCCTGTGTGAATAGAAATCTTCTACGTAAGGCAAAAGTTACTTTGTACTAGATTCATACAGGACACATCTGTTATGAACAGGTTACATTCCCCTCATTGCTTTACCTCACACAGAAGATAAAAAGTGTTAAATAATACTCATCATAAAAGACAAAGCAGAGAAAAACACTTTAAAGTTTATACCTGAATCAGGCCGTCCATCTGAGCTCCGAAATTCCTGCATTCTCTTTTCTAATTTTTGTTGCCGCCGTCGTTTCATAACCACTTCAGGATTAGAAATTGTTCGTGTAAAGCTAGTTTCAGGCATATCTTTGTAGACCTCAGCAGCCAGTCGAGAATTCTCACTGTGGAAAAAAAAAAAAGTCATCAATACTTTAGGTACTTTTTTCTTATTACAAATAGATATATTACAATCATACAAAAATCAAAATGGCAGATACCATTTGGTGACGTTAGTATCTAACAGGTTGGTAATATATTATGGCCATATGCTAACTACTATGTGACGAAGAATATACTTTATCTCAATACGAACTAAGTAGAAATCTACAATTAAACATTACGTTGAGTTTATTAATAGAACTAAAAATGTACAGATTATACATTTCAGTAATTTCTGCCAGTGTTATTTTTAAAAAGGCCAAATGATATTATGCCATAACATTCTAACATGAACGAATATACTTTCTAGCTTAGTAAAAACCTCTCTTAAAATTATACCAAGTCTTGAAGAACCAAAATTAAATAGGATGATTTTGTAACACCTAATGATTTTCCAACTTTTACTTTATTGAAATTAAACTTTTTTTTTTTTTTGAGACAGAGCCTAAAGCTGTCCCCCTGGGTAGAGTACCATGGCATCACAGCTCACAGCAACCTCCAACTCCTAGGCTCAATCGAGTCTCCTGCCTTAGCCTCCTAAGTAGCTGGGACCACAGGCGCCCACCACAGCGCCCGGCTATTTTTTGGTTGCTGCCATCATTGTTGTTTGGTGGGCCCAGGCTGGATTCGAACCCACCACCTTAGGTGTATGTGGCTGGTGCCTCAGCCACAGGCATTGAGCTGAAATTAAATTTTTAAAACAAAATTGCTCTACCAGTTCCTGTGGAAAAGTCAAATGTATAGAATGATGAAAGGAAAACAATATTAGGTAAGACAGAAAAATTAATTTATTTGACAAAATTTTGATAAATATACTTTAAAGATATAAATTTTAATCATAAAATAATTTAATTAAAAAAACAAGTCAAGCTTTTAATAAATGAAGCTACTAGCAACATAACTCATTTTTAGTCCATTTTCTTAATGAAACAGTACGTCACCCCACAAAGTAAAATGGTGAGAACAAATCAGAGCTTTTTTTTTTTTTTTTAAGAGACAGAGTCTCACTTTATCACCCTTGGTAGAGGGCTGTGGCATCACAATTCACAGCAATCTCCAACTCCTGGGCTTAGGCGATTCTCTTGCCTCTGCCTACCAAGTAGTTGGGACTACCAGCGCCCGCCACAATGCCCAGCAATTTTTTTGTTGCAGTTTGGCCAAGGCCGGGTTTGAACCCGCCACCCTCGGTATATAGGGCAGATGCCCTATTCACTGAACCACAGGCATCACCCAAATCAGAGCATGTTTTAAACTCACCTTTTTTGCTATCTTTAATTTACAAGCAATTTATCTATGCAAATTTTTCTTATATAACTGCATTAAATAGAGCCTTATTATGAAATACTAGACTAAAGTCATTACATAAGCATCACTGCCTAGCAGATTAATATCTAAACCCACTTTGCTGCAACCCAAAATGGACCTAAATTTTATTGTAAAGTATACATTTATTCACTGACAAATGGTTAATATCCACAATACATACAGAACACATAGAATCAATCAAAAAATGGGGAAAAGTCATGGAGAGGCCACTGTAACAGAAGAATATAAACCAGTTGTTCTCAACTTTCCTAATGCTGCGAACCTTTAATACAGTCCAAAGGGATAGTGACCCACAGGTTGAGAATTGCTGATATAAACAGTTAATGAATACGTGAAAAGATGTTGCCTTATTATTGATAAAAACAAATGCAATGCCTGGAAGGCATTATATACTATGGCGTTATATTTTCTGTAACACCCAAGAGCTGCAGGATGTAAGGAAATAAGAGGTCTCGTGGCTGCACAAGAGCAAAGGGCAGGGCGCTGATGGCTTCAGAACATATGAAAGCTTCCAAACCTATTACCTATCCATTCTCCCAGGAGGCACCCTGAGAAAATAATCAGATGCCTTTCCAAAGTCACAGAACAAGGACATTCACTGGGGTATTCACAATACCAAAAAAACTATAAACAAATTACAAGTTCATCAGAAAGAGATCAGTTACATACATTATGGAAGAACTGTATGATAGAATACTGCACAATCATCTAAAAATGTTTTTATGAAAACATAAATATCTTTCTGGAAAAATATGAAAGTGAAAAATCTAATTCAGAAGCCTGATTACATTTGTTTAATACTGCTCCATATAAGCACATACAGTATATACAAGGTACATCTGTACAGAAAAAAACAAACTAAATCATGGTTCTCTTTGGGCCCATGTAACAACAGATGAATATTCTTTTTGGTAAAAATATATATATACTATTAACATATATTAATTATATATTATTAATATATTATTTTATTTACATATATATTTTAAAAAATTGAGATAGTCTCACTTTGTTATACTTGGTAGAGTGCATCATAACTCAAAGCAACTTCAAATCTTGGGCTGCAGCAATTCTCTTGCCTTAGCCTCCCTAGTAGCTAGGACTACAAGTGCCTGCCACAACGCCCTGCTATTTTTTTTTGTTTAGCAGGCCTGGCTGGGTTCACACCCACCAGCCCCTAACTACTGAGCTATGGGTGCCCAGTCTTCTTTTTTTCTCTTCCTTCTTCCCTCCCTCTCTCCTGCTCTCTTTCTTTCTTTTTTTAAGAGACAGATTCTCATTGCCATCCAGTGCAGTGGAGTGCAGTAGTACACACAGAGCTCACAGCTCACCATAACCTCCACACTCCTGGACTCAAGCTATTCTCCCATGTCAGCCTCCCAAAGTTCTGGGACCACAGGTGTGAGGAACCAAACCTGGCCTTATGTTCTGACTTTGTAAAACATGTATTATTTCAGCAATAGAAAAAGAAGCAATATAGAGAATACTACAGAGTCAATTCTAAGGCAAGAGCAATTGCCTAAGTTAGTAAGAATCTGATAAATAAATGAAGTAACTATAAACAAGTGAAAATTGCCAAAGGTGAACCGGGAACAGAAAAGTCCACATTAAAAAGGAAAGTACAGCTTCTCCTATGATCTCTGTTCTGTTATAATGAAAACAGAGATTTCCCTTAACTGTAAGGACTCAAATACCAGTAGACAGGCAAAGTCCATCACAGTGGTGCTGGTGAGACACTATAAAGAATGGGAGACAGGGCCAAAGGGAAACAGATTGTGATATGAACCTTCAAAAAAAGAAACTGCTTTTCTCCCTGGCCTTGCCAACCTCTGACTAGGTGTTAAGTACATTTGAGGTACCTAAGAAACCACTGTTGCCTGAGTGATTACAACCACTGAAATGAGAATGAGAAGAAAGGGCCAACTAAAGATGAAGAGAATAAACAGTAATATTAACTAGAGTTTGCTTATTAGCAAGACTGTGAGTGCAGAGACTCTTCTCAAGCTCAGCCTGACAGGTTGTGTCACCTACAACCCTTGCTTAGGTAAGATCCTCTATTCTCCCTTACTACAGAAAACCTGAAATGTACCCAAGTAAGTGTCTGGACTGATATTCATCTTTTCCATAATTTACCTTGTGATTTGGCAACTTTGTTGCATTAAAAAACATTTGGTTTGGAGCACAAAGAAATAGGAATAGCTCTGTAATTAACTTACATGTCATCCCCTTGGAAAGGTCTCTCGTCTCTATCCGACGCCTGTCGCGATGCCTCTTTTTCTCGCTTCTTCTTTTCCTTCTTTTCTTTCTTTGAAAGTGTCCTCTTGAAATTCTGGATAACACCTTCTTTTTCTTGTTTGTCAGGTCCATTACTTTGAGCCTTCTGATAAAAGTAACATTACCACCATGGTGACCATTACACAGAAAACTACCTATAGCTTAGTAACTCCATCTCAACCAGCCAAGAATAAGCTAGTAGAACAGGAAAAGGTCTGGAGTAATGGAAATGCACTTTATCTTGATTGGGCTGGCAGTTGCATGGGTGTATTTATCAAAACTAATTGAATTATATACTCAAGATCTATGCACTTCAGCAGAAATTTTATCTGAATTAAAACAAGCAAAGAAGCAAACAAAAAACCAAAGCCAGAAATAAAACAGAGTAGAAATCATGAAATTTGATTTTCAATACATAAAACTCCAAATGATTTACATAAAATAACTTTAACAACTGAAACCTAATGAAATTACAGAAATAAAGAGTTGAAATCATTACTTTACAGAAGTTTTTCTTTAACTTCAAAAAAAATGTGAAGAGTAGCCACAATAAACTGGCTTTTATGAAGCAGTCGTAAGTACTGTGTGTAAAAATTTCTAATTTCCCCAAATCTTTGCTATTTGCCTTCTTATTAATTTATATTTTAACCCACAACCATGGCCTGCTTAAAATGACAAAGAAATACATAGTTTTTAATATGAAAAATTAAAAAAAGAATAACTATTATTACAATACGACAGAAAGCTGCTTTTTGTTTTATATGTTAAGGGAGAAAAGAATGCTACATTTCTATTTCCATTCATAGATATTTATAGCCATTTCACTGATCCTAAGAAGAGTTCTTATACATGTCAATGAGGGTCTGTGGTCCACATTTAAGTATACAAAAAATAACATCAGCTACATGGAAAACAAAATAGTGGATAGATGTCCTTACTCTGTATGAATTTGCGCAAATACAAGTCACTAAAGCACAGTAAAAAATAAGGTCAAGAATATATTTTGTGTATCTATCCGGGTCTCTCTACCATAAAACACTGGCAGCATTGCACAAAATGAAAACTTCCTGCTGCTAAAGTGAATAATGGTAGTCTTTTTCCCATCTGTTGGAGAAAAAATTAAATGTAGGATTTTTCTCCAAATATTCTTAACCTTTGCACATTTGCTATCAATTGTCAATATTGAATTCTTATGTAAGATGCTACTTGATTTAGCACAGAACTATAGTCATTTTGAAATTATTCAATAATTCATATCACAATCTGTTTCCCTCTGGCCCTGTCTCCTATTCTTTATACTGTCTCACCAGCCCCACTGTAGATGGACTTTGCCTGTCTACTGGTATTTCAATAATTTCAAATACTATGCAATACTGCAGTATTCCACAAAATAAGAACAGTAGGACAGAAACTCCAGATATCCTAACACTTGAGAAAGTTTTACAATTAGTTCACTGTATCACACAACGATACCCAAGCCTTACTAATTCCTAACTTTGTATATAAAACATGAAAAGGTTTTAAATGTACCTTAAAAGTTCACACAAAAACAAGTTATCAATGTTTTATTTTCCCTTTTGATTTTTATTAAAACAATTTTGATTATAAAATCTTGGGGAAAAAATGGAGCTGATTACTTGATCATAAATCTCTCAGTAACAAAAGCATTCGTAACTTTTCTTTGAAAGGTGAGAAGCAACATCTAAAATTATTGGAGGAAACAAAGGATAAAGCAGGGAGAAAAGGGCTACTTTTAAATTATTTCCTGGGAGAAGGATAAAAGAGTTTAGGAAGAGAAGCAAAAAGGAGAAGGAACTGTAACAACAACCTATCATCTCCCGCCTACCAGGCAAGACTGGCCCAGGACCAGAGTCAGGGTCAGGGTCAGCTCCTACCTTAGGGGGAAGGGCATCGTTCTCGTTCTTAAGAACAAATCTGCCCTCTCGATCATCTTTGTTCCAATTCAATTGTACAACTAGAGGTTTCTCTTCTATATCCAATCTTCTTTCTTCTTCAAAACATGAAATGAAAAAAAGAATAAGCCATGGTTATTTAATGGCACTACCTAATTAGCACTGTGATATGTATTTAATTTTATAGACATAAAGTACTTTTATTCAAGTACCTACTGACTGATGAAAATGTTTTGTTCAAAATGTTAAATCGAAGTATAAATTCATCATTATTTTGTTGCTACTCTATGTCTATTACCATGTATTCAGACACTGGACAGACAGTGACCAGAGGCAATTCCCCCATTCAGTTCTAATTAGGAAAATAAGAGAAATAGACATGAACTAGGAAAAAAAAAGCATACATGGTTTTACTGTAAGTCTACTTCTGTAAATCAAATCATCTCACACACTACTAGAAAACGAGGGAAAAATGTTAATGTTAACACAGATTCATATGAGATTTTTCTCATACCGTTAATGTCATACACTACCAAGCAACGCCAGCGTCTACTGTCATTCTTAGAAGTGATTACTGCACTATTTCTCCTATTTCTGTTTCCAAACTTGCCAACTCCAACCCTCACATCACCTTCCACCATAAAGCTGCCATCACTTTTTTTTATATAAAGTGCTATGTTTGGTATATTTCTTTCATTATTAGAAACATTAACAAATCTCCAGGCACATCAATGAGGAACATGGTATCCCACTGAGATGGTATCCCTGAGAGCCTCACACAGCCTGACCACCTCCTAGAGGCCTACAGGTGGCTGGATGCTGGGAAGAGGAGGAGGCACTGAAGGAGGCACCTGCTCTTTGCGCTGAAACACTCATTCCAGGTGAAGACAGTCAACGGGCGGGAGCAGGCTACAGTTCTGAGGCTGCAAAGCCCCATACCCAAGGGAGGCAACACTTGAGGAGCCCAGGTACTCTCCTCATCCTCCAGAGAAATACATTCCCTATGCTGGCACTTTTGTGTTTGAACCACTGTCACAAATTTTTACAAGTGACCTACCCAAATCTTTCTCTTAAAGTCTCTACCTTTTAGCATACAATCTGGCAGAATGTAAGATTTTTCAAGAATGTATTTCAGAAACACCTGTTTAGGGACGGATACCCACAACCTGAACATCAATAAAACAAGACCTAGCACTCTGAGGGTTGGTTAAAAAAATAAAATTCATCATAAAATGAAAATATTCAGCATGAACTGACCACTTACAAAGTTGATTCCCTATTCAAACATCACTCCCACTGGCCAGCCATGCCCACTGCCCAGCATCCTGTCATGTCACCCCCAGTAAGAACACATGTGATGGGTGTACTGTCATGCAGACTAACTGCAAAGTGAAACCTCATACCCTGCAGAAAGGGTCAAGAATACACCAGTCTGATGCAAGTGATATTAAAAAAATTATAATAAGCATAAATTCATAGTGAGAAATGAAGATCAGGCAATTAAACTAATTAATAACCAAAGAGACAACTGATAAGGATGATGGTAACACAGGTTCCTTGCAGGAGAAAGTTCTGATTTTCCAAGGATTGGGAAGAATTTTGAGGAAGGTCAGTTTAAGTCCTGAACCCATTCCAATCTTCATGATCATGCCCAACAGTGAAACAGAAACTCAATAAAGAGCCTCACATGAAGTCTTTGCTTTGTCAACTAGTCCATCTATAGTCCAAACTATCACTATTAAGTATGAGATAGACTGCATTTTTTTTTTGCAGTTTTTTTTTGGCGGGGGGAGGGGGGCTAGGGGGAGGCAGGGCCGGGCTGGGTTTGAAACCTCCACCTCCCGCATATGGGGCCAGTGCCCTACTCCTTTGAGCCACAGGCACTGCCTGAAATAGACTTCATTTTTTAAACAAAGGTCTCTATCAAACAATTTTGATCACTATTAACTATGAAATTTGATCCCAGTTTTACATGTGTTTATTTTAAGGGGCCTTTTATAGGAACTAAGTACCTTTGGATAAGAGGACTCTGGTGTATTAGTAACAACATATTATAATAAAGACACTATGTGAGGCAGTACAGACCAACAAGCACTCTGGAGCTGGACTATCTAGTAAAAAGATGCCCAGAACATTTATGACCAGGCTGCACTTGAAGGAAAGGAGGGGTACAGGTTGTCACAGAAAACTGTTGGAAAGGCAGAAGGACAAGCATCATCAGTGCATAAGGTGTCTCACTATAGCCTCACCCAGAGAAAGGCGACTCTCTAATTTGATAAAGCATCTTGAATGCAATGCCAAAAATTTACATTTTAAGTTAGCTAAAAGTATGAGAAATGAAAATCAAGAGAAACAAATTAGATATAGAACAATAAATCTGAACTCTTTCCATAAACCAAAATTATCAAATTGTTCTGTTGCAAATTTTAAACTAGATCAAAATCCTTCATACTGTAACTTTTTAAGAGAACTAACATGAAGTCCAATCATGAAAGTAAACCAAGAACAGGGTAAGTTATTCTGAAGCATGTGGGACTGACCACTGAATGTAAACAGTACTGTGGGTCCCACAGCACCTTCACACAATTCAGGTATCTTCTGCCTTAGTGGTTTCATAATTTTTTTTAAGTAGCATAATCCTTTTTGTACATTTCCAATTGAATCCACAGGAGGAATCCTACTACATGAAGAAAAGGATAAAGGCAGAGTTTCTTTGGTGGGTGAAGTAGGGCTGGAGCCCAGGCTTTAGCCCACGAGGCTGTGATATGCGAACACACCAAGTATATTGTGGGCACTGAGGTGTATTTTAAATTTTCAAGGGAAACAAGGTGCATCTAGCGGAGCCTGAGGGAACTTCTGGCTCAGGTGGCTCCTAGCCCACAGGAGATGGAGTGGACTACAGCACTGTAATCAACAGTGAGCTCTGCACAAAAACCAACATAGATGAGAAATGAGGGCTTCTGGGGTCCCAAAACCCTGCACGGCCCAGGAGGTACACCTACCTCACCAGGGAGCAATTGTGATCAAGAATAAAATGAAAATTTTAGTTTTCATTTTATGTTTACTATTTTTTCAAATACCTGCCAGATTGTTGGTTGTTAAATGCTTACTAACTTTACTATTAATACTCGATAAAAAAACAAAAAACCATCACACATTTCCTTTGGCTAGTGTTACCATTAAACAATTACTGAGACACTAAGGTTCCGTGGCCTTCCCACACCCAGGGGGGAAGGGGAAAGCCGCTGCTCTCAGCACAGCAGCATGCAAGGGCAGGAGAGTGAGGAGGAAACAGTTTCATTTTTCTCTAACCATGGTTGTTTTGTTTTCACACCTTACAAATAATATATTTTACTTTTTAATTAAAAACAAGACCAATAAAGAAAAGTTAAAGGAAAAAACATCCTTTTAAAATAAATCAAAATCATCAGATTTTTAGCTCTCATATTAAAATTTTACATAATATTCCAAAGACCTCACTTGATAATATTCAGCTAGCCAAACAGCACAGACAGAAAAAAGGGTAGAAGTGAGAATGATTTTTTTCTTTATAACCTACTGACAAAGATTCTGAGGTAAAGAAAATACTCAACCTCAGAGAATCATCTAAGATGAGAACATCTTCTACTATGAAGTTTAGTCTTGTTATCATTTATGATGGGGACACCTTATAACCTTAAAGAAGTGGGGGGAAAAACAGCTGCCTCACATATTACCGGAAGGAAAATATCTAGTCACATCTGAAAATCCCACATGTAACAAACCTTTTAGTTAAATTTCAAATATACAAGAAAACTGTACTTTTGAAATAAGTAGTGTTGAAAAGGTTTACAGATAGAACTCAAGGGGTATTCAAATTGGATTGGTATTATATATAATCCTTTATTTGCTTCACTAACCTGTACTTTTTTTCCAGGTTACTAAACTTCTCTAAGGCACCCATAAAAAATTTTGTAAATTTCTACATTTCAAATCAGTCCAATTTAAGCTATTGTTTGAAAAAGCTATATGCAGTATAAAACATTTTCTGAAATTTCTAAAATTAATACAAGGAGAAATTACTAAATACATGTTTCCTCCAGATACCCAAATTATTCCCAAAGAATAATGAAAAAAATGTACTGTTTCAGAATGCAAAAATATTACAGCAAGACTGATTAGTCATACTCATATAATATTAAACTGGGTAAGAATTATAAATTATAATCGTAACATTAAAACTGATACACAAGAATTACATAAAACATTCTCAAAAAGTAGGCAGCATTCTACACTACCCATGTATGTGACACTCCAATATGTTAGATACTTTCTAATTATCTTTGGAGGAATAAGCGTATTAATATATTCATTCTAACTTTAGATAAATTTATGTGCCAGAGATTTACAAGAACACTTGAATACTTCCTAGGGATAAAAAAGTTTTAACATCCTGTTACTTATTCCCTCAGCCTCTCCAAAAAAAGAAAGAGGGAAATGAGATGTAAACCAGTGATGTGATTAAAATGCTCCTGAACAAGCTACCCATTTGCAAGTGAGTCACACCTCTACCAAGCCCTGCCTGTGTGTACTGACCTCCACTGACATGCACTTCATAGAGGGAATACTTGGGAGAAGATAGCATTCGCATATCAGGTCGGAATTTCTCTGCGAGAGTTTCAATCACATCTTGGGTAGTGGCAGTACTAGAGACCCGAATACATTTTGTTGCAAAGTTTCCAGCAGCTTTATCTTGAAAATAAAATCTCATCACTCCATGGAACTCCAAATCCTGAAAGAAAACAAAATGATACATTGTTTGAAAAATATTCAGAAGTTTTACTTTTTCTAACAAAAATAAATGAAAAAGACTAGTCATCATTTTTTTAGAAGTGTTTCTGTATCATAAACATCTGAGGCAGAAACTAAAGTTTTTGGTTTTAAAGTTTAGTCTGTGACTTTGGACGAGTTACTTATAATTTCTCTTGGCTTTATTTGTCTCATGTGTAAAATAATGGCTTTAAAGTAGTTCATTTTAGCAACAGGTGACATCTACTGAGTGATCAGCAAATGCCAAGCAGGTAGAAGATACACATGATTTGTTTATGTCTTTGTAATGCTCAGGTAAATAGATAATATTGTTAAACCCTAGTTCAAGATCTGGTAATCCAAACTCACAGAGCATGGAGTACGTATATGGAGCTGGTATGTGGCAGATGCAGAATTAAAATCCAGAATTAAACTCCATAGTCCATGCCTACACAGCCCCTGAGGTCCCATCCAGCTCTGAGATTCTAAAGCCTAAATAAAGACTCTTTGTTAAAAGGAAGGGGAAAACATTACCACCCAATTCTACCATAAAGTGAATAAATGAAAATAATTTTTGCAGAATATAATTGTGATTAATTTTCAGTATGAACTACTTGCTCAAAATCAATGAACGTACTATATATTTCAAATTCCAATGAAAGATAGCCCCTCCACAAAAATTTCGTGCTCTGAGGTGGGCCTAAGCCCACAACTATGGGATAACCTTTCCCATTATTTCCTACAACACAGAATAAACATAACTCTCAACAAAATTTCAAAGAATATTTTAATTCCTGGGTCACTTTCACTGCCTCAAACAAGATTCAAGTTTTAGTTGTCCAAGTGGAGTCATCCTCAATTCTTTTTTTTCCCTCATCCTCCACATTTAATCCATCAAAATACATCCAGAATACAAGCAAAATCCTGTTAAAACCAAGTTGGAACACACATGTGTCAGTCCCCAGCTTGGCACTTTGTGATGGCTTTCATTATCTTAGAAGTCAAAACATGACTGTGGTGCTCAAAATCAGTCACATTTAAGCCTTTCTTTCTTTATCTTTCTCCAAACCACTAGCCTTTTATTTACTAGTAATTGTAAACTAAGAAGCATTTATTTGAAGAAAAATATGAGAAATAGGATACAGGTTGAATATCTCTTACCCAAAATGCCTAGGACCAGAAATGTTTCCGATTTCAAGTATTTTCAGATATTTGCTAGAACATGTGTATTCCATGTACACTTCAGCATACCCAACCCAAGCTCTGAATTCCAAAATGTTTCCATGGGCACTTCCTGTGAGTCTTGTATCAGCACTCAATCAAGGGTGTCCAACCTGCAGCCTGCAGGCCACATGCAAATTATCTGAGGACTATTTGGCTTATCTGTGGTGTCAGATCCTGCCAAAAGTATGCACAGACCTTTTCTTTTGCTCATCAACTTTTGTTAGTGTTTGTGTATTTAATGTGTGACCTACGATAACTCTTACTCTTCTAATGTTCAGCAGAAAAGAAAAAAGGTAGAAATCCCTGGTAGATGTTGTAGCACATCACCTTACATATTTTCAAGTTAGGAATATTTAACCTGTGTAAGAATGGGGTTAGCAACTACATGAATTAAAACAAAATGAGACAGTAAGACCCATTTCTAACTCTGAAGTTTTCTGTGCTTGCCCACACTGTCCCACAAGGAAGTATGGTTCTCCCCACTCCCAGGGGAAAATACAAAGTTAAGGAGCAAATGTGTCTGAAAACAACTGAATGCAGCTTTTGGAGTAAAGGAGGGCCATGGTTATCGAGCATGCCCTAGGAAAGTTTAAGAAGTTAGTAAAATACATCTGTCTTAGCAGAAGTCCTACTCTGGGCTCTCAGAAATCTTACCAATCGCCTCTTAATCTTTGCTGGATTAAGGCAAAGAAAGCGAAGCTATGCTTTCTAAATGCCTCCACCTCTATGTTGGCCTGGCAACCCTAAAACTTTTATAACTAAAAACAAACGTGAAAGATGCTCATAAACTATAAACTATCAATGAGAATTTGCCATTAGTAGCAGCCAGTGCTCAGTCACTCGGTGCCAAGCACTATGCTAAGCACCTGCTACACTCCCTCCTGGCTCTCCTGCACCCCCTTTTCTCCCTGCATATGATGGATGTGCCTCTCTAGAATCATTCAAGAATCCTCCACTTCAGCTCCACTGTTCCCTGTCCACTACTCTTCCAAAGACTCATACAACAACTTTAGAAAACAAAAATTACCATATAAATTTAGTTGTATAAATTTAAGTTTTTATCATGGGAACCATGATTTTATCCCATGATTTTGACATTTTAACCATTACCAACCACCCTGACGCCATCTTTATACTATAACTAAAAGTCTCATATTAACTGGGAGAACCCCTGGCTCCTCCAAAAGCCTCACCCTTATAGAAAAAGTTAAAACAAAAAAGCAAATTAATCACTATGCTTCTTAATGATTTCACTAACAAAGCAGATATATTATATCATTTGTGACAAAAATTAAAAAGGCTAGGTGTACTTAAGGATCCCAACAAACATGAAAGCACCAGTGTCCCTGAGAATTGTCAAAAAATAATTCCAAACTACCAGATATTAAAGAACCAAAGAAAAACAGAAGCATCACGTGTGGATGGCGAAGGAGGGAGGGAATGCCCAATTAACATCAGCAAAATACAAAGGAAGAGGCAGGAGGATGGGTGGAGGGAGGGTGATTGGTGGCATCACATCTATGGTTCATCTTATAAGGGTACATGTGAATCTTCTTAAATGAAGAATATAAATATCTTAACACAATAACTAAGAAAATGACATGAAGGCTATGTTAACCAGTTTGATGAAAATATTTCAAATTGCATATAAAAATAGCACACTGTGTACCCCATGACAGTATCAATGTACACAGTTATGATTTAATAAAAAATAAAACACAAAGGAAAAAATCCAGAATGAATTTTTGGATTGAAATTTTGAATTTTTTGATTCTTTATCCAGAATGATAAAGAAATAATCAACTTAATCATTTTCATGAAAATTCCTTACCTATAAATTACTGCCTTTCATAGTAAAAAAGGAAACTGCAAATAAGAAATCTCCATTATTAATGTGGCCTCGCTACTTACTGTACAGAAAATATTAAGAAATAAAAGAAAATAAAATTTTAAAAGATACCCACAGGAGTAAGGAGATACTGATGTCTTCACCAAGAAGCAGTATCCCTATCTCCTGAAAAGTAGCAATATTCATTTGATGTTTTTTAAGAAACAATTCTGCAGATTCTATTAGCTAAATAAAGTAGGCTTTTAAAAACAACCATTGTTTGACTTTATTTGCACTACAAAGATGTTGATAAGTAATTTAGTTTGACACCCAGGAATTCCTGAGTAAATCTGTTACCAGAATATCCCTTTACTAAATTAAGATATCAATATTCTGTTCAATTATTTAGCCACAGTCTTTTTATTTTAATTTTTTATTAAATCATAACTTTGTACATTGATACATTTATAGGGTTCAGAGTACTGCTTCGATATTAACTACAGAATCTTATTAAACCTAAGAAGACCAGTAAAATCAAGTTCCTAAACTTGAAAAGTGGGCATGTGGTGACCAAAGTAGCAAGCAATAATAATTATTAATTTAACATATATGAGGGGTCAGGTACTAAGATTTACATACTTAACTCCCCAAACTAAGAGTTAAGTCACTAAACTAGAAAATAAGATGGAGGGTCAGGGTGGGGGGAGTTCCAAAAAGGTTAAGTCTGTGTGTCCATGGCCACAAGTACATGGCTTACCGCAGGAGGGCTAAAGTGCAGTGGGCATTAGCAGGCCCCAGACTTGAGCCTACACCACTATGCTCTTCCTGCTGCCTCTCCTGCAACAGGCACTTTGTCAGCTAAAGAGAGTTTTTCTTTGACCTTACAAAAGGTCCTAGAAGAGTTCCTGAATAAATGAAAGAACAATTGAGAGAAGCCTGTGGTTCAGAGTTAGTAGTAGCTTTCGACCATCACCTGCCAAGGCAGACTACCGGAATCAGGTATTCAGACTGCTCGCTGCTCGCGCTGGACTCCACAGCAGCTCACAGCCAACACAGTGCCTGATCGAGCTCATCAACCATGTCTACACACCTGTCCAACACACAGTGCCACAAAAACCAGGGGAGGGGGGCACAGCAGGCCACGAACAGGTTCACATTTGAATGAGTTACGTAAGGTTTATGTGAACTCAAATGTCTTCACTTTTAAAATGAAAACAATAAGCCTGTTCTGAAGATGAAACAAAATACTATACATAAAGCAATTAGCACACTACCTGGCATACATGCTCAACAATTAGAAGTTTTCTTCCTTTAAAATCTCTCCCACTAGAATAGCTTTTCTGAGACAAGGAAATCTTGTTTTCATTATTCCAGATCCTCCCTCAGGATCCAATACAGCGCTTTGCACATAACAATAAAACAAATTTGAGTCACAATGTGAAAAGACTAAATCTGATTCTTCCAACTGTAATTGTTCTTTCTTAATTGCTAAGAACCCTGGAAAACAAAACTGTAAGTTTGTAATAAAGTCATAAAATCTCAAGAGTAGAGTTAACACTCTAATAATGTTGCATCAGCTAATCCCATTATAATTTTACAAAGTTTTCTTTAAAAAATAAAGCACCTCTCCCTCCCACCTTAGTGCTGATTATACAAACTGCCCAAAAGCAAAGAATTTTTTTTTTTTTTTTTAAGAGATAGAGTCTCACTTTGTCACCCTCAGGTAGAGTAACATGATGTCTTAGCTCACAGCAACTGCAAACTCTTGGGTTCAAGTGATTCTCTTGCCTCAGACTCCAGTGTAGCTGGGACTATAGGAGCCGGCCACAACGCCTGACTACTTTTTAGAGACAAGTTTCTCTCTTACTCAGGCAGGTCTTGAACTCCTGAACTCAAGTGATCCAACTGCCTCAACCTCCCAGACTGCTAGGATCACAGGAATGAGCCATCGCGCACCTAGC